AGGCTGTCATTACACAAGGCTGGAGAGCAGTGCAAGATTCAGGGCCTTAGAACACCTGATGAACACCACACCTGATGGCAGGGCAACACACACACACACAGGATCTTAGAGCAGGGCGAGAAACAGTACCTAAGGGCAGAGCAAGATATAAGGACACAGGTAGGGCACAAGGTCTGAATGTATGACAAGACAGGGTATAGGGCCTGAGGGCAAGACAAGGCTCAGGGCATGAGGGCAGAACAAAGCACAGGTTGTGAGGACAGGTAAGGGCATGAGGACGGGAAACGGCACGGGACCTGAGGACGGGGGACACCACAAGGCCTGATAGCAGGGCAGGGCACAGCGCCTAAGAGCAGTGGGACACGAGACCTTAGGGAAATGCAGTGTGCAAGGCTTGAGGGCAGAGTAGGACACAGGGCTGATGGCATGGGACAGCACAAGGCCTGATGACAGGGCGGAGCACAGCAGCTTAGTGCGAGGGCGGGGTCTGAGGGCAAGACAATGCACAAGGCTTAATGGCAGAATAGGACAGGGTCTGAGGGCAGGGCATGCACATGGGGCCTGGTAGCAAAACATGACAGGACAGGGCCTGAGGCAGGGCAAGGCATCAGGCTTGAGGAAGGACGCTGGGCCGGGGCATGAGGGCATGGGAAGGCACAAGACCTGATGGCAGGACAGGGCACAGCACCTGAGGGCAAGGCAGGGCACGGGGTCTGATGGCAGGAGTGTACAAGGCTTGAGGGCAGAGAAGGGCACAGGGCCTCAAACTAGGGTAGGGCACGGGCGTAAAGATGGGAAGACAGCGCATACAACTTCAAGGCAGAGAACATACTCGTAAGGTATCGGATTTGAGGGCAGGACAGGGCGGGGCACAGGGCCTGAAGGAATGGCAGGGCAAGGTACAAGACGTAAGGACAGGACACTGGGCAGGGCACATACCCTAGGGGCATAGTAGGGGAGGATATAACAAGGTGTACGTCTTCAGGATAGGGCAAGGCACAAGGAATGGAGAGGGCATGTTTGTGCTTAGGTACATAGTAAATCAGGGCACAAAGCAATCAAAAAGCAACATCTGTTACACAGTAAAAGACCGAGGCATGTTACTTATTTTTGCTAGCACTTTTCCACTGACACCCTGTCATTCCAGTGTGGGACGCAGTGGTTCAAATTTCGCGAGGGCTACGTCCCAAAGGCAGGGGGCTGCGTCCCCAAATGGGACGCAGTCAGTTTGTTAAAATATACCCTGAGTGTTTGAGAGAAATTGAACGTCGCGCTTATTGGGAGGTCGGATAGACCCACCCATGACACTCAGTTAAGAAAAAACTCGTAAAAGGTGGCCGATCGCGGCGAAACTTTTCGCATTCACGAGCTAATCAAAATTACACACATCATGACAATTATATGACCCCGAACCCCATGACCCTTGACCTATGGCGTGTTTCTAGAGACCATGGCATGGCAGAATCGCGATTCTGCGTGTTACCGCACATTATCGACGCGTTTTCAGACTATTTGTGTCTTTAAAAAAAAACGCGCCAACTTGTGGGATGATTGTAATACCATGCCTTATGGTAGGTGTCAGGGTCGCATTAGGGTCAGGTGGTCAAGGTTACTGAGCTTAGATGACCTTGCTTCACCTTTTCAAGTTTCAACATATATTAGTGTCCTTTTTGCAGATGTCGAATTTAGGATCCATTTTCAGGAGAGGGTTTGGTGCCAAAAAAATATGTTACGAAGCTTCCCATGTTACGAAGCTCCCTTTCAGTGGTGATTGACACCTACTTTGGCTACCTGGCATGACACCTAGGCTAGCTACTGGACACTGGTTGACCTGAGCTTACCTGACCAGACCTACCCCCAGGCCCCAAATGCTGAAAGGGGATTCAGGTTCAGCGCAAAATTTTGAGCAAGATAGCACCCTCGCCCGCACATGCCATTTTCCCATCCTAGAACGCACATGGGGGGGGGGGGGGTTGCCACCCCCCCGCGCCATTTCGTTCCTGTTGGAGATAGAGCCTAGCGGTAAAGACCAAAAAGATTCTTTGGGAAGAGACGAATCCAATGATACCCAGTTTTAACTTCTCAGGTCAGTCATTGACCTTCCAGGTCAGGTCAAACTAAAAAATGTTGCTGTTTTGGGTCACCGTTGGATATCAAGTGCGCTGCTTATCATATACCGATGACGATGCTGTTTTCTGGTGCCAAGCCAGCTAGAACCTCCTTGTCACACTACCCGACCAGATTTTTGCTGCTGAAGTCATTTCAGGTCAAGTTAGGTCAAGGTCAATTATATGTGTTTGTGTGTCTGTGTGTATTCTGATGTGTGCACCGATTTTTTTTTGTGTCCATATTACATGAAATCATGATCTGAGAAGCTTTTACCAAAAATGCAGTCAAAAAAACTTCACAAAAAGTAAATTCAGCTTGCCTAAAACGCAATTATCTTAGATGACCTAGGTTGACCTTGACCCTGACCTTGACACCTGTACATCGTCGAACAACATGTTCCATGATAGGTGGGAGGTAAGACTGGCAAAAAAGCCGAAATCAAGGTGTCAAAAGCTCACAAGGCCCATAGCCAACGCAAGATGTTGAGAATTGTCCATTTGGGTCATGACATGACCTGAAAAACAAGGTCATATCTCCGAAACCAAAAATCACAGATCCTTGAAATTTTCAGTGGACATCAAGAAAGGATAGAGAAGCAGCTATACGAAAAATCAGCCTTCTAGCTCTAAAAAGGTTGAGTGCAGAGCAGAAAGACTACCTGGGGGGGGGGTGGCAACCCCCCCCCCCCATGTGCGGGCGAGGGTTAAAATTGGGAGGTTTGTATTTCCTTTGTATTTCATTTTTGTAACCACCTGGTCGGGCAATGGGAAAGGGTTACAAATAAATATCAAAGCATGGATAAGATAGGCTACTATTTTTATTTTTCTTAGTTAAGAAAAGATCATTGTGTCAGGGCTATGACTAAAAATAAGTGGCCTAAATCCGATGAGAAAACAGGATTTGAGGGAACCCTAGGTTTGGCTCCTTGAGCCTCTGCCCACCCCCCCCCCCAGTGAAAATCCCTTACAGGAGGCCCTGTAGCCCCCGGCCCCCCCCCCATCTCAAAAAGTAGGTGGGCACTTGCCCACCCGGCCCCTCTTGTTCCTACGCCTATGCAATTTTGTTAATAGCCAAACTATCAAAAACAAAACACAAACTAATGTGTGTGGAATCAATAGTTTGATTTTGACACCAGATTGCCTCCATAAAAAATCAATTTCCTGATTGCCTTTTAGCATGCTTTGCATAAAAAACAGTCATTATTTTGGCTGTATTTTTTGTGTGTGTGGTTAGCTTCATCATTTTTCTTTGCCACCTGCTAGCAGCACTGCCAATCAGTGTTTTACAAGAAGCATGCCAATTGGGGAAACTATGAAGCAGAAATAAAAACATTGATCGATCAATAAATGGATCTTGTACCTATGACCATATATGGGCATAAATGCAGCCCCCGCTATGACGGGGGCTGCATTTATGCCCTACGACGGGGTGCATTCAGTGTAACGGGACAATACTTGCGGTATTGAGTACACCCACTGAAGAGAAAAAGCTTCCATTTACCAAAGGAATGATAGTTAACGAGTAATACTTGACGAAAGTACGCACATTCACCCGAAAATGACGATATTTTTTGCAGGTTCTGGGCGTCCACTTTGCCAGACAATCAGCTGGCCATTCCATAAATGGATCGGCACTATGAAAAACTTTAGAAATTTATTTTTAAAACAATAAATACAAAATAGTAACTATTGAATAATAATTAATTTTGCTATAATTGACAATATTGTAAACAAATTAATACAAATAACTATTTACCATCTCTTAATTACCGTAAAACGGGGTGTTAAGGGACAGTTTTGAGGTGTTTCGTTATATAACTCAAGAAGGGTTGGAGATAGAAGCATCAAATTGTCAGCATTTTATGTGGAATTTGGTGCTTTACATGCCTGCCACATTAAAGTTTTTAAGATTGATACATGCATATTATTTTTTATTATTTTTCATCACTGTCCCTTAGCACCCCAATGTGGGGTGTTAAGGGACACCTATATGATTCCAAGAAATGGTCATCAAATGCCCATAATTGGGGTGTGGAAGGGCACACAATTTATTTATTGAAATGTTTTGCATATTCTGTCACAAAACAAGTCAGGTTCATTCACCACTAATGACCTTTTTAGCCAATTACGTGTAATGCAGTTTACGCTTGTGGAAAATGTGCTAATTATAAGGAAAACAGGACCAAAAAGTAATCTTCTGTCATCAATAAAAACCCATGTTGAAACTAGTCACTTGTCATCATGTTGCCCTCTTTGTTTTAGCCTTTTTATGATGACATCACATTTACCTACATCAGTCTCCATTGACCCATCATTGTAAAAGAGAGTGTTGAGATGTTTTGTTACATAACTAAAGATGTGTTAGAGATAAAAGCATGAACTTGCCAGCATTTTATGTGGAATTTGGTGTTTTCCATGCCTACTTAATTAAATTATATTTAGATATTATTTTTTATTTCTTCTTCCCTGTTCCTTAGCACCCCACATCCTCCTCAAAATATGCATGTATCCGGAAAAGAGGAAGAGGATGATGAATGAATGGGTGGATTTGCACAAGTTTTTCAGGAAACATGTGCAATACATGTGACAATACACCTATGCATTCATTTTCCCTGTACACCCACTAGTTTATGTGGTACACACAGAGTTTTGGAGATGTTTCAATTTTGTGAAAATGTAGCATGATTTTCAAATCCATTTTTGAACCAAATCACTTGCATGAAAAACCATACCATTTTCTCCTATGGTCAAGAGCAAAACAGTGTCAACTACCACACTGAAGTTTTTATTGAACCTTCTCAAATTAGGAAGTTAACATGACTCAAAGTTTCTCCAATGCAACTGTCCCTTAACACCCCACTGTCCCTTAACACCCCATTTTACGGTACTCACTTTTTCTGGCACGCTTCTTTCGATCAGCAATTGCAGTCAAACGTCGGTTGGCCTTGAGTCACAACTTACTTCATTAGGACCGCCAGTTAGGTAATTGTGCGCTGAGTGAGTACAGGCCTTGTGTGAATCACAACTTGCTAATGTCTTATTTTTCACTTGAAAGCTAGGATGCACAAAATCACGTCCATTTTTTCGTTACATGGTCATGGCCCTGCCCACTCCAACCTTTCATTGGTCAATCAATATTTGGATTTGAGCCTCGTCCTTTACCCAACTGATGCACAACCTAACAGAACGGCTTCCAACAAAGTATGGTTAGCTTAACAATTGTAAGGATGCCCTGCTCCATCAATTCAAAATGAAAAGTGATGTAACCATTAACAACACATGAGCCTAGTATCCACCATCTTCACACAACTATATAGCCGCCAAGATAAAGCAAAAAGGGATACCGGTACGGACTCTAGTCATGTCATGGCAGGCACAAGCTACCTACAGGCAATTTTTGCAAGAAGGTAGGTGTTACACTGAAAGAAAAAATGACACCCTGTACGGGGTATTGACGGTCATGTCAAAAATAACACCCGAGTGGGGTGTTTTGAGGGGAGTCGCTGAGCTATTATAAATGGGGTGTTTGGCGTACACCCCAGGAGGGTTTCGACGCATAGTGGGGAGTCGCAGCCGCTAAAGGGGGGTCAGCGCCGGCCCACTGGGGTTCCGTTAGACTGCAGGTGACACCCCTCAAATATCAGCCGAGCACCCCTTTTTGGTCCCTAAGCACCCGACAGGGTGTCAAACTCCCAAATTAGGGTGTAAAATATAGCTGCTCAACTCCCCTATTTTTCTGATATTAACTCCCCATATTGTTCCTGACCCTCACGCGGGGAACCGCGCGCCTTCAGCAGGGAATCTCTCAGAGAAGTTTCACTCCCCTATACTTCCGAAAAACTCCCGGCGAGGATTAAATGTCCTTCGGAACGAGAATCTCAGACTATATTTATAACCGGGTGAGGAGTTACTCTTTCCGTTCGCGGCCTTGCGGCGCCCTGTAGTGTGCACGACCAACGTATGACACGGTAATCAGTCTAGATATCATCATGATATAGTTGGCCACTCTACGCTATGCACGCTTTTGCCTTAGCTCCAAACATGCACCAGCCATTCGTGAAAAACAGGTCCCGATTTTACCAACTTTAGTTTGCGCCATCTATCGGTAGGATTTGAAGCTGAAAACACGGGGTGTCACTCCAGGATAATGACACCCCAGAGGGGTTTCAACGGGGGTGTCTCAGCGACACTCCAATTTTTTGGCCTGCAATTTTTGGGGAGTTCGCTAGCCGAACCTCTCCCAAGGGGGTCATGTACATTTTTGCGGCGTCAAAAGGTAATGGGGCTCCCGTGTCGGGTGTCACAACACCCATGACATCCTAAAATCATGAAAACGGAGCCTAATTTAGGAGTATTTTGGAGTATGTGGTGTCAGATTGTAAGAAATGGGGTTCCCCGATTTTTTTCAGTGTAAAACAAAACAAAACAAGGAGACAAGTGACAACAATATGGGTGGGTGGAGTTCTTCTGGCTGTTTACTTAACCTGATCTATCATATATTAGGGAGAACAATATTTAGCTTACCTGTTGTAGGCACACAACGACCACCATCCTTGAAACTGCACGTGCAACAACAATAACGCTCAAAGATATTCCGGCGTGCAAACAGCTGCGCCGAAATTGTATCTCAGTCGTGCTTCCAAATCGGCGTAGCACATCGCTGCCAGATCTTTTACTGGACGAGGAAGGCCTTTGAGTACGAAGCAAACTCTGGTGGATAAAATATGAACTAGCAGAATCGTTTAATTGGCCAGGTTAGGGTAAATCTGGTTTAGGCTAACATGCTCCAAAGTTAGTATAAACTCGGATCTGGGCTGTTCCTATCAAAATACACTAGTTTTAATTTATGCTATCCAAAAAGTTAGGGTAAATTAAAATAAATTGAAAATCGGGTTTAGGCTAACGAAAAGTTAGCCTAAACCCGTTTCACAAAAGCATTTTTAGTTCCAACCTTCAGCTGTTCATTCCACGATTTCTAAAGCCAAATTGATTTTATTGGTTATATAAAATTGATTAAATCTCTGAACACACAATGGATAAGGAAGTGCCCTTGGTTGGACAAGGGGTCTTTCCGTGACGTCTAAAGCGATTTTCTCTGGCATATTTTTCGATAGGCGTATCATGTCGTCGCTATATCATGGAATTACCAACAATGTCCATAGATTTAGCGTTCTTTGCTCACTGCGTATTTGTGTGCACCTTCATAGCGACAGCGGTGAAATCGTGCACATGCCCTGACCGAAGGAATGCCTCTGAGACCAATGTAAGGAGATTAGGCCAGTCGGGCAGACCAGCACGCTGGCCGCAATCACCGCTGTAATACAGGACCCTGGCATTCAGCAGCGTGGCGATTAGCATAACCGCCTAATTGATTGTCTCACTGGCCCTGAGCGTAAAATCCTGTCGGTGACCAGTGGTAAGGGCCTACAAACTAAGCCCGAGCCCTCAGCAACACCGCTTATTATGGGCGACCAGCTAGCTAGGGCAGGATACATGCTAAGCCCTACAATCTACACACAAAAAAGGCATTTGTAATCGCTGATTGGGCATTTCCTGAAGCAGTCATTTGTGAGCAAGTATATGCGGTGTTCGTTGATCAGACTCGAATGCAGTGTTGCATGAAAATGTGGATAATTTCTGTTTATGCCTGATTCCACACGGCTGACACTTTTCTCTTTTTTCTCAGGTGCGGATCTGCTGGACAGCATTGGCCATCCTGATATTAGCAGCATTAGCAGGTAAGCATTTAACTAATGATACTTCATCACCTTCCTTCAGTTACTAACAACACTTACTAGAATGCTACCACTGGGACTGTAAGCTAATTGAGTTGAAAGCTAAATCACGGGAGAGCTGATTATCGCTATGCACTCTCAAACTTACCAGGCAAAAGTCTTGCTAATGCACTGAAGTGGTAAATTTGTCCGCATCATGTAATTTCTTTGCACGAAACTCGCTTTTCTCTGCAGCAGTGGTCCAGCACAGCAGTGGTCCGTTTGGTTGCGTGTGCACTGTGTAGTTCTCACGTGTCCTGGGAGCGGGTGACGGCTGCGGTGACAGTTTAGTGCGACCTGTGGTAACAGGTGACCACTGGTCGCTGCCCCGCCCTGCCTTTGGGTCAGGTCGAGCCGCACTAGCTTGAGCACAAGTTGTCCTCTATCCAGCATAGCTCGCGGCTAGGCCACTTACTCTAAGCCTCGGCGCTCGTATTTAAACAAACGCTTAGACAGTGCTGTGCTTAGTTTTTGGATAGACGCAATGCTTAGATAAACCTTAGTCTGGTTTCGCACTTGTGCACTTGCATGCCGTGATTCTCTGGTGTTCAATCACTGATTTGCTGTCTCTTACTCCGTCCGTTTGCAGATGCCGCTGTCAAGAGAACTCGTAAGCGAGTGGTATGTTACTACACAAACTGGTCAGTCTACAGACAGGGTCTGGCCAAATACCAGCCCGCCAACATCAACCCCCACCTCTGCACCCATCTCATCTACGCCTTCGGCACGTTCAATGATGACTTTGAGCTGGAGCCGTCCGACAAGTATCAGGATATTGAGAAAGGTGAGTTTCGGTCATACAGCGGTAGTATGACCGCCGGTAGTATGAAACGATTTACGCCATTTTTATACTAAGCATGAAACTTTTACCTACACGGCATGGGCAAAAGCGCTAAACAAAAAGAAAATTCAAGGGATTCGAAGGTGCGATGCAATAGTTCATTCATTCATTCATTCATTCATTCATTCATTCACTCATTCATTCATTATTTCATAAATTTATTTGTTCTGTTACACAATCATCTAGCTGCTTCACAGAAAAAAATCCACTTCTTGCAGCTAAAGAAGCGATTACTGTCCTCTTCTTTAGTTATTCATGGAGTCTAACGTTTCTGAGCCGCTTCATACGAGGATAACCGATGGCTTGGAAAAATCGTCTAAAAATGTGCCAGTTTTTGCTTCGATAACACTGGAAATACTGAACAGATCAATTTCGAGCCAAAGCGGAGAAAAGGATATGCCAGTCACTTGCACTACGCTAAGGAGTGAATGACTTGTCATCGTTAGACTGGCAATAAATTGTCCATAAAGCCCGCAATGAGCCACCGTTTCACGACCACCACAGCACAGTTCGACACGCCTCCAGTCAACCCACGCCCCGTGAGAGCATATTTCAACCACCGCTCACGGGATTCCGTGCAGCATGGCATCACTCACTGCCCGGGGCCGGTGTTCGCCCCGAACCTCGCCGCCCTGACCAGTGCGTGAGAACGTTCCCTGCCCCGCCCGACGGTGTCGCCAGGTCCTCTCGTATCTCACAGCCTCGCCGCGCCTCTGTGCGGTACGTCGGTACCGCACCAGTAGCCTTGGCGGTCACGGTGGTCACAGGGCGTGTCTTGGCCGCAGGGCGATCCGACGCCGGCGGTCCAGATCGTATAGTGTGGTCAGCAGGTGCTTACGCACTGTTTTCAATGCCTTTGACGAGATCTAAGGCAACTGTATGAAAGTGAACTTGAGATATTCAGCGTTAATGAATGGTATCTCAAGGCCAATGCCATGACTCAGTGGCGGCGGAATAGGGGTTGCAGGGGGTGCAGCTGCACCCCCATCGAAAAACATGGGGCTGCAAACATATCTTTTTGCACCCCCAAAATCCGTACAAGGGGCCCGTCGCACCATCCAATACATTTTCTCCTGAAAACCAGTGATCGGGAAACGAACACTGATGTGGAATCATCCGGGATGTCCAATTATGGTCAGGAGTGCCCCATGCTAGTCTTTGGGGCCCCCACACCGGCTAGAAGTGTCCCGAGCCGCGTTTGGTGCTCCACGCGGCATCTGAGGGCCCCCACGACGGCCTCAGAGGGGGCCCTTTTATGACGATCTCTGAGGGCTCCCACCTGAGGGCTTTGTCCCCTGGGGCCCTACAACGGCTACTAAGAGCCCTCATGACGACAGCTGAGTGTCCCACAGAGACTCCAGGGCCCCAAGGAGACTCCAGGGGCCACGCTGGCCTCTGGAGGGCCCCTATGACGGCCTCTGATGGCCCTTACGATGATCTCTGAGGGCTCTCACGACGAACTCTGTCCCCTGGGGCCCTATAACGACCACTAAGGGCCCTCATGGCGACCGCTGAGTGTCCGACAGGACTCCAGGGGCCCCACTGGCCTCTGAGGGCCTCTACGACGGTCTCTGAGGGCCCTCGTGACGGCCCTAGACCCAACTCAAGTCTGAGGGCCCATTTGGCTTCAGACGGCCCAGCGAGTGCCTCTGAGGGCCCCAACACAACCAGGCTCCAGGGGCTATGCTGGCATCTGAGGGCTCTGCAACGGTCTATTGAGGGCCCTAACAACGATGGCCTCTAGCGGTCTTACAAAGGCCTCTGAGAGCCCTGCAAATGTATCTGAGGGCCCATGAAGACCCTCAATATGGCCAAGGACCCTCATGACGACCTCTGATCATCCTCTCGAAGGCTTCTAAGGGCCCTCACAACTTCTGAGGCCCCCAGGACGGTCCCTGAGGGGCTGAGAGCCCTGACGACCTCTCTGGGCCCTCACGATGGTCTCTAAGACCCAACGCAAGCTCCAAAGGCCCACACTGGCGTCTGAGGGCCTCACGACGGTCTCTGAGGGCCTCGACGCAGGTAGACTCCAGGGGCCATGCTGACCTCTGAGGGCCCTCTTGACGGCTTCTAGGGCCTAACGAAGGCTTCAAGGGCCAACGGTTGCCTCTGAAGAACCCTACGACGGCCTCGGAGGGTCTCAACTCAACGCAGGCAGGTGCCAGGAGACATGCTGGCCTCTGAGGGCCCCGCAGAATTCAGATTCAGAGGATCCAACGACCTTTGTGGACCTTACGAAATACGAAGGTCTCCGAGAGCTCACGCAGGCTCCTGGAATTCCACACTGATTCTCAGGCCCCATGTCGGCTTGTTGAGGCACTTTATCTGCTCTTGGTGCCCTGTCGCCGGCCTCTGAAAGTCTCAATGTCGGAACTTATGGGGCTATGGGCCCTACACCGGCTTTTATGGCCCCTACATCGACCCTTGGGACTCATGACCCATGAAATGTGGGTTTAAACGACTTCTAAGAATCCCCATGCTGGTTCTAGTAACCGCCAGCCGAATATTAGGGCTCACACGCGAGCTCCTGGGACCCCGTGCATACCCCAGGGGTCTACCTGCCTCTAAGACCCCACACATACTTTTGGGGCTCAAACGCTTGCCCCTGAAGGCCCCGCTGAGACCCCTTTCCTCTATTCAGTCCTCCATACCGGCTCTTTAGGCTAAACATCGGCTCCTGTGGCCTCCATCCCGGCTTTGGAGGGCCTCCATACAGGCTTTTTTTGGGGTCCGATGCCGGTTTCTGAGAGCCCTCAAAAGACTTTCGAGCCTATACTACCTTCTGAAACCTTTCAGCAACTTTCAAGGGACCGACTCTGATCGGAGGGCTCATTCAGTCTGGGGAGTCATGTAGGTCTCTGGAGGAGTCTCTTTGTGGTTGGCTTCCAAGGGGCTTCTAAACACGGTCTTCTTGGAACGGTCTCGTAGGGCCCTCAATGGTCCACTGCGGATCCAGAAAAGTGGTTTGAGACGCTGCGGATGGTGGCTAGACTAAAAGATTAGCCGATAAAAAACTAGCTGCATTTGCTTCTTTATGCTTTCATTATTTGAGATAGGTAGGAACACTACATTTTCAAGCCTTTTACAGAACTTGTGTGTATGGGGATAGTTTTCCAAAATTTTCGTTTTTTTATAAATCAATAAAAATCACTAAAAAAAATTGAAAGGGGGGGGGGGCAAAGCTTCCAGAGGGGCCCCTTGAGAAAACTTTGCACCCCCATTCAAAATTACCTTCCGCCGCCACTGTGCCATGTAACCAGTAAAGACGTGGCGCTGCTGATATTCAATGACAGGCCGATTTTAAAACGCTGACGTGCCGATTCGTGATGCAATAAGGTGCAACAAGGTGGTTTTTTCACCATTCAGTGTCCGCTTTATTGAAACTGCGCGCTCTAAACAAAGTAACCCATTGTATGCCAAGACATACCCACCGCACTACGAGCAAATGGGCTGCTGCTTTGGAGACGGAGGTGGCGGGGAGGGGCTGGAGCGGAGGCGTGGCCGACCCAGCCATCTCAGGGAGGACCTTGTGCTGTGGGGCCGCACAGTGGGCGTTGGCCGTCCCCCCCCCCCGGCTTACGGAGCGGTCGCCCCCTCCGTAAGCGGCCGCTGTGGGCTGGTCCTTGTTAGTCGGTTAGTCAGGCGCCCCTGCGGAGGAGGCACAAAAACGAGCGGGCCACCACATAAACAGATGATGCGGCACGCAGGTTGAGGTCGGGATGGCAGAGGAGGCTGGTTGGTTCGGAGGGAGAACAGAAACGGTCTGTTCCGTGCGTCGCAGATGGAGAAGCGAAAACAAGCTGCGGAATGCTTGCGGAACGTTATGGAGCGGTCATCCTCTATTAGGGCTTGATCGATAGCATAATGGAGTGACGTGTTGCTGTGGAGATGTTTTGATGAGCTCTGGAATGAAAATGACTGAGCAAAGGTGTTTGGTGTTTGTCTAATTTGTGCTGTGAATCGAGAATGTTGAGCACGCAGCAAAAACAACATGTCCGTGGATATATCATCAAAACATGCAGTTGCTTTGGGCATCACAGCCATTCAGGATATTCATATAAACATAACACTTGCAAAAGTAAGCACGTTCATCCTTGGATACCACAGGCTTGAAGCATGCTTCATTGTTGCAACACCGTAAATATTTTACCGTTTTTTTATTCACAACACAACAACGAATACACAACGATCGATCGACTCCGAAGTGCATGGCTTATGATAACTACAGTTCTTAAATGATGCCGAGACCTGGCATGATTGATGATTGTCATGTCGTGTCATAAACGTGTATGGATACACTTACCATCCTATCGACCGAATGAGTGTAGCCAATGCTGTTTTTGATCAAACTGCGCAAGTACGACGATGTATTTTGTGACCATGTTCGTGGTGCATTTTCCCAGGTGGCTACGCTCGTTTCAACGGCCTGAAACAGTACAATCGAGGTCTCAGGACGCTGTTGGCTCTCGGAGGTTGGAATGAAGGATCAGGGCGCTTCTCCGAGCTCGTGGCCGAGCCAGAGTACAGAAAAACGTGAGTGTCTGCAGGGGATCGGCGCCGCTAGAACAGTTATAAATGTAACTTCTGGAACATTACGGTAACGTTTTAAAATTAAAAACATCTTAGGGCTGCTCGCCACCTCTCTGGACTGGGACTCTTGCCCAGTCGACATCAGGCTACACTACCTTGAAGCTGTGGTATTATTAGTGTCATCCTCGCTAATGCGCCGAGATGACTGAAAATTCCAGAGTTGTCGCTACGACAGCCGCCAGATTTAACCCCGCAGGAATTTGCTCATCTCATGACACGTCGGATGCTTAGTCATATAGCTCTTATCGTTATCCATTCAGTGACAAACAAAAGATATATTTGTTTCGACTTTTGTTTTGCATTTGCAACAAATTGAAGCATGTATATTTCACAACACTTATATTTCGAAACACCAGGAACTGGATAAACCTAACCGCATATCGACCACTATAATGCAAGTTCCAGACCAAATTAGCTGTCGTCACGCCATTACCCACTCCCAAGAGGCCGCACCAGGACAGTCCACTGGCAACAGTGACCAGCTCTCCGGGGAGTCCCAGCCGCGGTGCCAGGGACGGGCCGCCGCGCCGCTCGGTAAGGCGGTGACGTCCCGCCCCACTGCCTCTTCAAGGACGCGTCGCCGGCCCACCGTTTTTTAATTGCTCTCTCGGCTTCGTGGTGCGCGGGTTGCGTGCTCCTTAGGCAGCAATATCCGGTGTAGAGCTAGCTGGCACCCGGCCCTGCAGAGATGAACAATGGAAGTTGGACTGGAATTAACCCGGTCTCTAACAGCCGCAAGAACACAGCCAAGCTGGAGCAATCCCGGTATACGGGACTGGAAGGACCGTTAGGAATAATGAGGAAGTAATCTGGTGCAATGCTCTACGCCTCATCTGCAAATAAACCCACGGCCAACGGTGGGAGCAGCGTTAATTACATGAAGTGCATCTCTCAGGACAACAATAATCGTCAAGGATAGTTCATTTATCCTTTCCAACGAACATCAGTCACAATGGAATGCAACTATGTCTTAGTAATCTTATCCATCATCTTGAATTAGCTGAGATTAAAACTGACAAAAATACTTAACCATTCGAGGAAGAACTGTAAGCCGCACCGGAAGCATAAAGTTCTCACAGGCAGTGTTTAATTGTGCGAGGGAGGTTACATCGAGGGAGGTGTGACCTCGGGCTACCTCGAGACGTGGGAGAGAGATGCACCACAGCTGCAGCGGCTCCAGTGGGCCAGGCTGGTTCGTTAGAGATCATACGGACGAGTGCTGCCGCTGACGGAGCTATGTATAGGCCCCACGTATTCGTGTGGGGAGGGACTTCGGAGGGGGACAACTTCCTGCATGACTAGCTGAGAGTCGGGGCTGGAGAAGAGGGAGTAGTAGTTACTCTGAACTATTGGGCTGTACGGAAGCTGGTTTCTGATCAACAACGCATTGAAGCTGATAGAAAAACTGAATTCTGACACAACCATGACTGGAGGAATGAGTTAATAACGAATCCAGAATTATCCTCGGAAAATAATGGAAGTGATAGTGACAAACGACGTGGTGACATTGAAGCGTCAGCACTTCCACTGAACTTCTACAGACCAAATCATTTGTGTTATTTCCTTCGGTTAGGTATCATATCGGCAATGCAGTATAAAGAAGGAGTATCGTAGCCACATGCCATGCACATTGCACATTGCACGCTGTTACGTAAAAACTTTCTTGCACACAACCACACCAGCATTATATCTCCTGCAAGCATCAGTAAATCTGCCCCGACAATATCCAGCCGTGTGCGGGCCCGTCCACTACAAGTCTCTACCGGCCAGAGTAGCCTCGCCGCATGTGTGGGTCACCGAGTACGGAGCCGTGCCGAGCCGTGACTACCGTGACCGTGTCGTGACCGGCCCGTGACCGTGCAGCCAATGGACCGGTCACCTCAGAGGGGGAGTGCAGTGCGTGACGTCAAGGCCGTTCCTGAGGTTAGGTGGGCGGGGGACTGCCGTGAGGACAATAGACGGCGTGTGTAGACAGAGATGGTATAGGATAAGCGGAGGCGATGGGTAGAATGGTGGAAATATCTAGGGAAATGTGACTGCAGATCGTTGCTCCGGTAAAACCCATGTCGTGAGTAGGTCGATGGCAGGAGACGGGACGATTAATGCTAGAAGAAAGTGAAATATGGGCTGAATCTGATACTGTTGTTAGGAATTATGCATCCTTCCGTGCATATGAAAACACATAATTGAGCACTATCAATTGGATATCCTTACGGAAACTAGGTATATGACTTTTTTTCAGAAATACCTTCCACTGGACATTCAACTAATTTATTTATAATAACTACGCCTTCATAATCTAAATCATAAATCATACAGGTCACATTTCTTACCATATTTACGTACACATACAAGCAGGAGCGGAGAATTGTCATAATCCCTGGGGGTGCTTTTCCAGCACCTCGCCAATGGGAGCGTCGAATTCTGGCGTAGAAAAGCACATTTAGCTACGCTTTCCCAAAGGCATCACTCTTCTCGCGCCTTACGCAAAGCAGTTTGTGTCTCAGACGTAATTTAAGCAACCACTGGAACACTATTATATGGTGACATTTGAATTTCAGGGGGTGCTCGAGCACCCCCAAAACCCCTAATTCTCCACCCCTGCATACAAGTGTACAGGCATAATTCTTTCAACCCCCATGCCTACTTACTACGGTATCGCTTTTCCTCAGGTTTATTCTGAGCGTGATACGCTACCTGCGTCAGTACAACTTTGACGGCCTGGATCTGGACTGGGAGTACCCGGGCTCCCGGGCCGGCAGCACCTACGAAGACAAGGACAACTACGCCACGCTCTGCGAGGTCAGTGATCGGTGATTGATCGGGACAGTGATCAGTGACTGATAAGAGCAGTGATCGGCGATTGATCAGGACAGGTGTCAGCGACTGATCGGGACAGTGATCAGCGATTTAAAGGGGCAATGATCAGCGACTGTCAGTGACGGGCAATGATAAGAAACTGTAAGGTCAGTTATCAGGGAATTAGCAATTGATAAGGTCATGAGCAGTGACTTTGAAATCAGTAAGAAAAACGTAACTGTGAGGTAAGCGAGAGGCGATTAGCGATCAGAAGCCTCTCACTTATCATATTCGCAGTTCAGCTTCCAAGCGCCCAACACAATGTCTTTTCACTTGTGACCTATGTGAAGCGATCTGTGACCTGCGCTGTCAAGTGACCTTTGACCCCCCTTTTCTCGCGCCCTGCAGGAGCTGAGGGCGGCCTTTGACGCCGAGTCGGTGCTGACCAACCGACCTGCCCTGCTGCTCACCGTGGCAGTCCCGGCCGGAACCAAAACCATCGAGAAAGGATTCAACGTACCGAGACTGAATGCGTGAGTGTTTAGACGGCCGAGCGATGGAGAGGACGTCTATGAAAGATCACTATGAAAACGCGACTGAGCTGAAGTAGAGACGAATCAACTGATATGCGTAATAGACATGGAAAATATGAAATGTATGGTCTGCAGAGCTTGCGTGCATTGCAATGAGTTTCAATCAAGTTCCCGCGTGCATAGCAACAGTTGATTGATTGATTGACTGAGTCCCAGTAACATCATTAATACGGACCAGTTCGCATTGACGCTGCATATTTCAAATACATCCCCGCTACCCCATGCATCATCACAACAGGTTACCTGGCTTCTCTGAAAAACCCCAGCAATTGACCCTGGAAAATCATTGCATATTCACCACAAGTCGTTCGGTGGCAGGCCCCGTTTCCAGTTGGGATCAGTTATTGACAGCTTTGTCGCAGGAATGCGCCGCGTTTGATTGATTTCAGTGGCGATTACGTTCGACCTCGAATCGTGGCATATGCGTTGAAAAACGCTCGAAGGGTATCCGATAGAACAGGTTATCGAGCTGCGTTTGGAATGAGACATTCTAAAAATGAATCATTTATTATTTCTTCGACTAGGGGATTATTTACATACATTCTACCTTGGTTGTTGCTATGGCAGCTCTCGTATTCACGCGTGCGTTTTTGCAGTGCCTTCCCACCAATCTTCGTCGTTAATAGATCTCTCCTGTGGCTAGGTTCCCCAATCTAACTGATAACTTCTCTCTTCCCGCAGAGCTGTGGATTTCTTCAACATCCTCGCCTACGACTACCACGCAGTCACGGAGCCCCTGACCGACCACCACGCGCCCCTGCTGCCGGCACCGGATACCTTCGGCTCATTCGGGCCCGGCCCCAGTGTTGAACTGAATGTGGTGAGTGGCGGGAGCGAGGTCGCAGCGTGACACACCCCGGTGACCTCGGGGTGTTATCATATCTGCGGGTATGATCATGACCTATAGGTTTTGTGGTATGACATGAGTTCCATCAGTGATGCTGATCTTTCTCGGTGGTTGATGGAGAAAAATTGAGATCGTGAATGATAGTTTGTAAATAATGAGTATGTTCTATTACAGGGTTGATCTCAATTATATTATCCATCTTGCCGATCAAATGGAAGCAAAGGTGTGCTTCATATTTCAGTAGTTTTATCTTCGCGGACGGTAGGCATGCCTACAATGGACCCGATTTTTAAGCGGTTTTCTGCCATATTACGTTTCCCGATTCGGTCATAATACTAATCACTAAAATCCTGGAATTCTGCGAACCGGGTACATTGAAGCGCTGGCAACCAGCTTTATCATTTCTACCTGTTTTTCATGAAATCTCTAAACATAAAGTGTATACAAACGCAGACAGACGATAAGCCCTCGGTCGTACAGTGACTCCTTGGAACTTCATGCCCCTGGCTTAGCTGTGCAATGGAGACGAACCCGCAGCGCTCTCGAGTAATCGGATTGTCGGTAACATCCGACCGACGGTGACAGGTGCCAATGGAATGACGAAGCTAATCTGAAGCCATTTTAGGCACGGACCATGAAAGTGAAACGTTACTTCACCACTGCTAAAATAGGCAACTTTTTTTTAAAGCAATGTCTCACTGCATCAGGCAGTCTTCATAACATTTCTTAAAACCTTTCTGTCGTATTTTATTCAAGAAATTCAAGCGTGTTTTGGGAACCCACTTCGACAAAAAATATGATACACATCAAACGTACTTTTTCTGCCTTTTTCGACCTTCTAAATCACCTTCCGTGCCGTCAGTCTCGCAGGACATCTAGTCCTGGTTATGTTAGTCTCTTGATCCTGGTTCCTGTCCAACAGGATTATCCACACAGACCGATTCTTTTCCACCCTTCCTTAGCTGTTTTATGAAGTTCTCGGACATCTGTTCCACAGGACTACACGGTGCGCTTCTACCTGAAGCTGGGCGCCGAGCGCAGGAAGCTCGTGGTCGGTATCCCCACGTACGGCAGGTCCTTCACCCTGATCGACGAGCGCTTCAACGGCCTGCAGGCTGCCGCCAGCGGGGCCGGCACCAAGGGCAAACACACCAACGAAGACGGCTACCTCAGCTTCTACGAGGTATGCGGCGCGTTCGGAAACTGGGAGTCGACTGCAGAGAACGGTTTTGCATGGTAGATGGTGTGCAGTAGTCGCTATGTTACGTGGAATGCGTCTCTGTGACCTATCTACTGTAGTATTGACCGTTCATCGTTTCTCTGCTTCCGGTCCCATTTCATTGCTGACTCTTCGTCCGTTTTCCGGTTCCTCTCTAACGCTCCGCCTTCCTCTGCTGACCTGTTCTCGTTCTTGCTACCGTCAGATCTGTGAGCACGTTGCTGTGGACGAGTGGAGTGTCTACCGACCCCATCCGGACGCTATGGGACCTTACGCCACCAAAGGGCAGCAGTGGGTGGGGTATGACGACGAAACTGCCGTCCAAACGAAGGTGAGTATGCCCGATTCACTATGCTGAAAAGAGACTTTGTCGTCCCTGTCTATTTAAGACGCATTTAATTTCAGTTTAACAATTTAACTTTTATCTCAGGTAGCCGCATCATTTGTTTTGAATAGAGTATCCATTTTCAACTTATTTTCATCTCGATTACCGGCGATGCTGTCACCACGCTGTCTTGCTAACAAAGTACCTGTCTCCATGCTGCATTGTCTTGTCAGACCTAGCAGCTATCCGTGTATATCAACTTCATGCTTTCCGTTTCACTCGTTACAGGCCGAATATGTCCGCGATAACCACCTCGGAGGAATCATGTTCTGGTCGATTGATAATGATGACTTCCGCGGCCGCTGTTCGGGCCGGCCGTATCCATTGATCGAGGCAGCCAAGGAGGCCTATCTGGCGCCCGCGCCTGGGTGAGTTTTATAAATTCCCCGCAGGCTCAGGAATATGCGCATTGCTCTACTGTCTGGGTAGAAACATCAGCTCATTTCTATCTTTTTAGCCAGAGCATTGCTTGGCTATGTGCCACCTTCGATGGATTAACCCGCGCGGGGCTGGGGTCTCCAGCCGAACGCGCGGGGCTGGGGGGGGGGTAAATTTTACCCCCCTGTTATCTCCCGAACTAATGGTCCGATTTGGAAAATTCAAACGCCAATCGAAAGCTCTCATCACGAACTACTAAAAACATGTACTTAATTTAAAGTTTGAGGTCAAGGTCAAGGTCAGGTCAAGGGTACAAATTGCAAGTTTCTACAGTATCGGCCTTGCACCGTAGTTGCCGAAGAATGGAGTCATGGACTGAGACTGATCGCCCAAAACGTGTTCTTAGGCTACCAAGACAATATTCGTTGCATACAATATCATTCAGAGGTCAAGGTCAAGGTCAGGTCAGGTCAGGTCAGGTCACCAAAAAACAAAATATAGAAAAGGGCATGTGCGACACATGTTTTATGGGTCATTTTACTCATAGAATTCAATAGGCACACTCAATAAGTGATATGGACCACCTCTGGATGAGTTTCAGGTCGAGGTCAGGTCAAGGTCAGGTCAAGTGAGGTCAAATTTTGAAGTTGGTTGTTAAGGCCTAAAAAGGTGTTTATCTGATGCAGTTTTTCACGGCGAATCGAATGGTGCTATTTTTGTTTCCGTACGAGGTCTAGAACTTCCAAAAAAGTCATTTTTCAAAAAAATTGTGTGTCGTGACGTCATAAAATTTTGAATAACTCCCACATTTTTGAACCGATTCTTCTAAAATTTGGTATGTAGGTGCGTATAGACCACTTCTCTGACATATATTCCGGTTTTTTCGATAGACTCAAAATTTTGGATTTTATAATAATTTTCCCAAAAAAGTCAGTTTTTTGAAAAAATTTAGGCCAAAATCCAAAATTTTCAAAAAACCGAGATGGCCATTTGATAGACAAAGTAAAATCACGTATAACCTTTTTTGTTACGTCTTGATTCCTTTAAAAATGAAGATGTTAGCGGCGTTTGAACTTTTGCCGTTTTTGAGGCGAAAATGGCGAACATGACGTCACTAAAACGTCAATTTCTCAAAAAATTTCCGACGGATTTCGCTCAAATTTTCAGGGAACGTGTCAACTTGATGTAAGAAAAGGTACTGAAAGTTTGGCGGCGCTGCGCGCCGCCGTTTTTGAGATATCGCAAAAATTCGCGAGGGGGGGTAAAATTTACCCCCCCAGCCCCGCGCGGGTTAACCCTATTAGTGGCAGGCTCCTGGCTACCCCTATTAGTGGCAGGGGGGGGGGCTGTTTACGACCCCCCTTGATATCTCGAGATCTAACGGGCCGATTTTCAAAATTCAAACGGCATTCGATTTCGCTCAACGTGATCTACATTTCTAAAAAAATAAAAATTAAAAAATGTCAATAGGGGGGGGGGTTAGAGGGGGTAAAAACGGGCAAATTGCAGATACATTTTAGACTGTTTATCACGGCCAGGTTTCTGAACCAATCTTAACGCAACTTTTGCCAATCGATAGAGAATGAACCAGGAATTCACATGGATCCTAAAAATATGCATTTTCAAAAATCATAGGCGGATACAGATCATTGAGATTGGGGGTACACAAAAAGTAAAGTAAATAAGGTTTTTGTTGGTACTGTTTCTAAAAAGGGTGGTAATGGTCTTGTTATGTTACAATTTTCTTATGAGAGAACGACTACAATTGTATTGGTCATGCATAGGCGGTGTCAGGGCACCTATGTTGGGAGGTAAAACATAACCCCCCTTTTTGGACGCCTGGATCCGCCTATTATAGCAAAAACGTGTCAAAAGAGGATGCACAATAACTGTTTATGTTATCACATGATACCTTTCATTCACTGTTCGTAAAACTGGTGCAGCATCGTGATCTTCGCCCAAATGACTCGCTTCACGAATAGGACCCCCCAATTTCCAGTGCTCTGGAGCCGCCCCTGGTAAAGTTATAAACTTGAAATTTTCAGGGAATGTGCCCAATTTAGTTTTAGGAAAAGTCAGAAAATTTCAGCATCGTAGCTTCAGCGGTTTCGGAGATATTCCCGAAAAACCTGAGGGGTGGATAACCCCCCCCCCCCCCGCCACTAATAGGGTTAAGTTTCATGTGAGCGGCATAATGGGCCTCCGTTTTGTGGCTTGGAAATTGTTTATTATATAGGTAACCTGGCCATTAATCTCGGGCTGGTGGATTGCATCCACTTATCAGATCAGGCTACCGCCTGGCCCCTCGCCCGAGTAGGCGTGCAATACCGAGGGTCTGCACCTAATGACTTGTTTGCGGGAAAATTATCCCATTTATGCCCAGGAATATTGACCATCATGAAAATCGATGAAATCAAGATATGTTACGCTTCTACCAGGGCCTTGCATGGAATCGAAAATAATTTTTGCCGGCAGCAAAAGTTTTTCGAGAAAAACGTAAAAAACGTGCGTTGCGAAATCGCAACGAAGGGCACACCGGGCGCCATCAGCGTTGCGAAAACGCAACGACGGGCACATCAGACGGACATAAAGTACACTAAACCGCCGTATATGCTAGTTTGTTTTAACATATAATTCACCAACTGTTGACAAATATTGCTGGAGAATGCGGAACCCACATCCCTCATGCTTTATTGCCCGCCTAAGAGCCTGAATGAGGGAGCATAACTTAAGGGTTCGCGAACGGGGAGATGGCAACAAACGGTCATTATCAACAACAATTGTCCATCTAAAGTACCTACTGTTAACGCCAGACGCCTTGAGACCCTAATTTTTCGCGATTATTCTAAAAGGCGTGGACAAATTTCAACCATATTTAGGAAATAGCTGTTTCAAGACCTGCCGAAACTTTTCTTCAAATACATTTTGTTGTCACTTAAATATTTGTGGCACTTGTCATTGACTCGTAATGTTAACTGTTTTTCCATCCTGGATAGAGGCTTTCATACGTCATATGACATTAGGTTCCGCCCACGACTGCGGCATTGACCCGTGCCCATCAGCGACCTCTGTACAAACGACACCCCTGCCATCTGTAAAGGACTGAATTTCGCTGACGTTTCACGTGCTATGAATCAATTGCAGCAGACCGTCAAGTAAATGTTAGGCTCTTGTTGACTCTTGTATGTATATGGGACCAAGAGGACCATCACTCCTCAATCTACTACTCACACATGTTTCGAACAAACGATTCTTAACAAATACGATTTTCGATGTAGGATATCTGTTTGGTGAAATACGAGCGAGCCGTATGATGTGAAGCGAAGGCAATTAGCTAATTATTGCGCTGGTCGATGGATGCATAGCGATGTACAAATCAGGAGCTTCTTGATGACATCCGACATCCCATTATCGCATTATCTGCAACGCCATAGGCTTTAAATACAGGTGAATATTTCCTAACCTTATGTCAGGTATATGCCATCTGCCCGTCATTTGCAGCTTATAAAAAAAAATATATCAGCGAACATATCAGCATTGTACAAGCAATGCGCATTGAGCATTTATGGCTACTCAGTCATCATGTCGCTCTTTGGGCACTGTCAGACAAGACGTTACGCACAACTCCGCCGGCTTTCGGCACCGCTCGACCGTCCCCGCTCCCCGCCACAGCGCGAGTGACCGCGCGCCGGCCCGAAACCGCCGCAGGCCAAGACCACAGAGGCGGGGCTTAGCTGTGACGTCATAACGTATCACAGACTGACTGGTGATAGCCTCTACACGCCGGGTGAAAATCTTGCTCGAAATTTAACATTACGAGTCAATGAGAAGTGCATGAAGTATTGAAATGGCGACAAAATATCTAAATTGTAAAAGTTTCGGCAGGTCTTGAAACGGCCATGTCCTGAGCTTGGTTGAAATTCTTCCATGCATTTAAAAATAATCGCGAAAAATTAGGGTCTCAAGAGGTCTGGCGTTAACAGTAGTGGTTGGCACGTACGGGCTTTCTTAGGCGGTGCTTTCTTTTTGGAAGCTAGACAGAGCCATTAGCCCATTACCCTCTCATATGAGAACCCCAAACAGAAAACAATTTAACCGAGGATTGGGAGTAAACCTGTGCCTCGCCTAAGCGCCTATCCGCAATACCATTGTTAACCACCCTCCTAGGAGTAAAGTTAAATTCAAATGCAGGGTAGTCATGCCTACTCTTAGCAAAAAAAAAAAAGAACCTATCCGGCTTTCACAAATTACCCGCGTAAGGCGTAGCGCGTCATAACAACTCGGCTTAAAGTGTCTCCCAGGACCCATTTTATCACTTTTACACCTAATACAAAATTGTCATTGTCCCACTCTCAGTGACCTTCACTTGTAACCTTTCTCTCGAGACAATGCCAGGGCAGACCAGTGATTCGACGCAGTTCACACTTTCCAAGTGTTCCGTTAATCCGTCCTTTCCATCTTCAGGATAGTAGAATCCTTCTCCTCCGCATGCCTCAACCCCTGTTTCGAGCTGGACGGGCAACTATATCGCATTCGAGCAGCTCCCATATAGGAGCACAGGTCTGTAGCCGGATGCAGTAAGTGCTTGGGAAGGGGGGTGGGGCTGGTTCATGGGTGGCCTGGATGGATGGGCTCAGCCTCGACGATTCACCATGCCCGCTCAGACCAATGTTTTCCCTATTTCCAATAATGCTTCTAGCTCTAAAATGGTCTGATTAGACAGGCCTACCCTCAGTAAACAAACGAGCAATGCTTCACATCAACCACCTTATCAATCCGTGCAAACCATGAATTCTAAAAATAAACTATTATTTTCCCAGACGCCCTCATCACCCCTGCCAAAGGGGTCTGTTGCCCCCCCCCCCCCCCGAGGGGGCATATCCCACATTTGCCGACTCTGGGAGTTATCTTTTCTAACGTAAGGGTCAGCGGATTGTATCCGGAGAATGACAATGCCTATCTGTCGTCTGATACCAGACTACGTCCCCATTATTTAGTACATAGTAGATCCAATTTTCAAAGTACCTCGCTATCTCTCAGCTCCGTTAGCATCGCCGACCGTTTGATGCAGGTCCTTTTCCTACCATGTGATTTTCAGATGCTCGAAAACCCATTGCAGTTAGTGAACAGCCCGATAATCTGCGAGAGAAAAAGAAATGAGTGTTTGATAGCTGTTTAAGTGAGTTAATGTGAAACCTGTCTCAACATTCACGTGCAAATGCACCTTGCACTTTACATACCTACACGTCCCTCACGACTAGGTACAAAACGAGAGAGAGAGAGAGAGAGAGAGAGAGAGAGAGAGAGAGAGAGAGAGAGAGAGAGAGAGAGAGAGAGAGAGAGGGGGAGGGAGGGAGAGAGGGAGGGAAGGAGAGAGAGTTGGGGAAGCGTGGAAAAGAGGGAGGAAGATTGGGGAGAGAAGGAAAGAACCCACAGCGTACCACAAGTGAAGACTATTTGATGTTCCTATACTTCCGCTGCACTGCCAATTTGCCCCTCGTTGCGTTTTCGCAACACCCCTGTCTTTCCGATGTGCCCAACGTTGCGTTACCGCAACACGACTGTAGTCATATTTGAAAATAGTCACAAACCCTATTTGCAGCATAATTTGTTAATAAAATGCATATTCTAGCTATTGTAGGGACTCTGCAGAATATGTTCACACATTATTCATTACGATATAATTAATCACTTAATCTAATTATTTTGGTTTTCGTGACGTCATCACTGACGGGACCTTCGACTTCCCTCTGGGAGCTCTGGACGGTAAGTTACCGGCCGCACAGACTTGTAACTGCGTAGCATCATGCGCACAAACATGCTAAACGCGCTGAAACTTGTCTCATCGGTGAGACGCCATTACACACTTCTCAAGATTTGATCACGTCGACGCTTGCTTGTGTTGCGAAAACGCAACGAAGGGCGTAAATGGGTTATGGCATCTGACGTGAATCGCGTGGCACTCCGGCTATGGGGCTGTACCAGGTCATGGTTTTACCCACCGCGCGTCCACCTTTTCCTGTCAATAATAGTCCAAACAGGACGGGGACAGATGTGCTCGGAATTCGAAGCTACCACTTACGAAACGTTTTCCTTGAAAGAAAAGCGAGCATATGAATGTTAAAACGTGTTTATATGTTTTCATCAAAACTTAGGTAACTGGTATTGGTATGGGTCTCAGTAACTTGTAACGGTTGGCTCGTGATTCATTCACGTAACATTCAGCGCAGTACCATGTCGTAACATTCACGCAATGCCATAACGGCGGCGGTGGCGGCGGCGTGGCGGCGGTCGCTGCGGGTGCGGCGCGGGCGGGCGTGCAGTGGTGAGGTGATCCGACTCGGGCGATAGCACGTAAGAGCCGAAAGGTGCTGCGATTTAAGCAATATTGCTTTTGCACCAATTGGCAAGCATTGTTTTGTACGTGTTCTGATTAATGTATTAAATTTATTCTATCTATCTATTTATCTATCCATATTCCTACTTATTTGCATTGCATGATTGCAAGCTGTGCTTGTGCAGCAATGTGTGGTGTGATATATCTGTGCTGCACTTTTGCATCTTCGTGGCCTATCTGGCATGTGCTTTCCTTTCCTCTTTTTTCTCTTGCCTTTTCTGTCTCCTTTTATGTTTTTTTCCGAGCCTTCTACATGCCACTGCTGCCACCTTCTTCAGTCACCTTCTTCAGACTCTGACGTGTGTTTTATTCTGACTTATGTTTTTCTCTTTCTTACAGGGACGCCCCGAAGCAGGCCCCGCCACCGACCCCCGTCCCGCCGGCCACTCCCGACCCCGGGGCAGGTAAGAACGGACACCCCTATCGGTACCTCCCCAGCCGGTCGGTTGTATGTACGGGGAACACAGGAAAATTGACGTGCTCACTGCTCATGTCACGCTACTGACTGCGAGCGACTGGTCATGTGTCGCAATCGAAAAAGGGACGATAAGATTTAAGTTATGTAGGTACTTTTTCACCTTTCTGTTTTTTTTTTCATTCTTTCTATCATCCATCTGTTCAGGGTCAGTAAATCTACATTCTTTTGCAGGCGCCACACTTTCAAAGCCAGCGAAAAGTTATATTTTCATAGCTCTCTTGCATTTCTAAATAAAATAAGCACACCGTATTGTTATTAACTTCAATCTCAATAATACCATGCCCCGACTGGCTCTAACTCCGATCGCATCCTCGTTCGACAGGATTCACCTGCAAGCGGGAGGGCTTCTTCCCCCACCCCTCCGAGTGCAACAAGTACTTCTGGTGTCTGGCCGGCGGTCCTCTCGGCATCACCTCCCACAGCTTCACCTGCCCTGCCGGCCTGCTCTTCAACCGGCGCACAGATGCCTGTGACTTCCCCAGAAATGTCAAATGCAAGGTAAGGACTAAGTTTTACACTTCCTGGGCATAATTACTACCATCAGGTAATGATTATCAAGTCATGTCATCTGCGGCTTATTAAGCTGTAGGCCAGGCAGCCTCACATTAGGGAAAGAAAGCCAGGTTTTGTTTGAATGGACGACGGTAAGCTATCAAGTCGTTGGTTGGATGTGGGAACGTTTAGCTATAGGTCGAATGCTCTCCGTTTAGTTCTGGTGGTTATCAATGGTAGTCATCTCCGTGTCGAGCCTGTCTGACAGGTAGTTAGTTCTATACACCGGATCGTCTTGCAGTGTATCGGCAGTCGGGTATAGGTGAAGGTCAGCCACTGTCAGTTCTCAGCGTTGGAGGGACGCATGCGTTATGGCTATGGATCGGAGAATAGAAGCAATTTAAACAAGTAACTTACGTAAGACGATCATTTGCAGTTTGAATCATCCTCATTGTAACTTATTACTAGATAGTTGTAAGCAACTATTTTTTTAAATAATTTTTGTGAAATTTTTGGGTGATCTATTTTGCTGACATTCACTTAGAGACTCTTCTTCTACTAAACCAAGTCCTTTTGGAACACAGTACTATCTTGGTATTTCATCAGTGTCGTGCTCTATGCGACCGTCGTCTGACAGGTAATTCACCCCTCCTCCCGCAGGTAGAGGTGAAGGAGGTCACCTCCATCACCTTCCCTCCGACCCGGGAGCCCACCGTGCTGCCTCCGGGCCCCCTGGAGACAACCGGTGACGTCACGCCTGATCCGTTCGATCAGTACTACGAGGACTATGATACAGAGGACCTGGAACCGTTCGGTCTGGAGCCGATTGGACAGACGGAACCGCAGACGCCTGTGGAGACAGCCAAACAGGTGAGTTTGGAATATTTACAGACAGGTCAGCCGGTTTGCATATTAGACAGGTTAATCAGTCTGCCTCTCAAGACAAGTCAGCGAACTTTTCATCATATACAGGGGTTAGGTGTGCAGCGGTGTATTCTTACATTGGAATCCCTGCTGTAGCGTCTCAGCCAAAATCAAAGCACTGTAAATATGGCTTTGCGGCTGGAGAGATAAAATGTGTCGCGTCCAGTTTCTCCCTCACTATTCCAATTGTCTCCCCCTGCACCACAATACGAGTATGGGATCTCTTCTATCGTCACTCGTCTACCACCGGTGATTGAAATCTTCTCCAACCCCGTCTGGAATCTCGCTCTGCGCTGCACCAATCACAGCCGCATGAATAATCGGATTTTCGATTGACTCATCTGCGCTCCGACGCTGAACTTTGCGATCCCATCTCACTCAAGGTCTCTGCACCGGTAACCGGTTTTAGCTCTGCAAATGTGGAATCACTGACGGTCACGAAAAGGTGGCCGGAATCGAGACATAACTTCGTGCCGGTGTCTTTACCAGTTAGGTCACGCAGAACGCAGCATCATCAAAGAGAACACCACTCGAGCGCGACATCTTTTTGTCCCACGGCAGGCACGACGTTTGGTGGAGATACGATCTTCAATGTGAGATACCGGCAGAATCATTCCTTTGGCGGTATGCTATCAGTGACGGAGTGTCTGTTTCTTGTTGATTCGCTATCGTATCGATTATCTATTGTGTGAGAGGATGACACATATTCACCGGAAACAGAATAAGGTTATCTTAGACCTTAGTAATTGCTAATGACGGTCCTTAGACACATTGTCTTCATGAAGAAAAAGTTTACGGCTTTGCATGAGAGGCCAATGAAATGCAAATTCACACCTAGTATTCAGGTTAGAATTTTGCAATGTCTCCAGGCGAGTGTCTCCTCCCTCGATAGAAGACAATTCGAAGCAATTTTAGCTTTTCCGAAGCCAGTAATTCTCTTCCTGCTCCGCCTCAGACCACGTTCCAATGTAGGTACCCTTAATGGTGTCTCTAGCTGTTTCGTCCGAGCGCCGTTTACAGCTCACCGATTTAAACCGGCTGACCCCACAACTCACAATTAGACCTCACTTGATGTCATTCCTGGCGACGAAAGATTCCCATCCATCACCTCCCAAGATGACGTAACACATACATCCTGCCGGGCCGGGGCAGCGGAGGGACGGGGGGGTTGCATGATTACGAAACGGGTCGGACTGTGGTACATACCGTGACCGAGTAACTAGAGTTATCCTGAGCCCACCGGGTCATGACTAGAGATCCGATGTTTTGTGGGTCGAACGGATGGACCAGTCAACCTGCCAGAGGTATTATAAGCCTATGGGATCATGAGTCATAATCATATGCTCTATATCTGGTCGGGATAGGTCATGCTGGTCCGATGTCTCATGGTTATGCCCAACTTTATGAAAATGGTCTGTGGTAGGAGGAATTTCTATTTGACCGTCTAACGAGACGTTTCCTGCTCCTCAGGTTCTCGGCGGCTCCAGAGGTGGCCAGGTGGTGGAGCGACAGCCCCAGGAGCAGGAGTCGGATCCTGAGGAGCTCAAGAAGCTGCTCCAGCTCATCACTGATCTAGGTGGGTGATGCTTGACTCGGGAGGCAGTGTCGAAAGCGGTATGAAGTTTGTCGTGAGCTTTCCAAGACTTTATCAAAGCTTACGTATAGTATCCTTATGTATATGCGGTAGATAAGGACCCTACACGTAAGTGTCCTTATCTATCGTAAATATATTGTATTCCGAATCGACTAAATTCAAGATCAATCAGATATGAGTCCGTACAAAGCACAACATGCTTCTTACTGCTAGATTACAATCACAAGGTCGGAAAATTCCAAACATTCGTCACATTTCCCAGGCGTGCACGATATTAGTGACGTGAAACAGCTACTGTTCAATGATGTCAACTTCCATTTTCCTGCTACCCAGGTGGTTCACCTCTGTGGGAACTGCACGCATTTCCTGCTACCCTGTGTTCCCTGCCTCTAATAGCTGTCACTGACCTGCACAAACTGCACACCTCAGGCGGGGTCGAGGCGGTGCAAAGAATCCTGGAAGAAGACGAGACAACGTCCGGAGGATCGACGATATCCGAACAGGATCGTCAGACGCTGATCAGGATTGTTGGCAAGAGCACCACCACATCTGCGCCCAGGTAGGTGGACGTGATGAAGCCGATGTTGGCTGCTTTACTCCGTGATGGGTTGTATCAGACACACGTTCGACAGAAATGTTTTATTCCATGATGGCCGTGAGGCCCGTGACAGACATATAGGCCATGCAGCAATGTCTCATTTCGCGATGTTTATTGATCGACATGGGCTCGACAGGACTGTCTTATTTCGTGATGGTTCATGTTAGACATGGGTTCAACAGGACTGTCCAATTTCGTGATGGGCTGTTTTCTAGTTCCGACAGGGGTGTCTCATTCCATGACGAATCGTGTCGACATGGGCTTGACAGGACTGTCCAATTTCGTGATATATTGTGTTATACTAGACACAGGTCCGACAGGGCTGCTTTACTCCGTGATGGGTTGTGTAAGACAAACTCTGACAGGACTGTCTTCTGGGTTGTCTGTGATAGGATCGTGTCTGACATGAGTCCGACAGGACCTGGCATGTGTTGCGCCTTGTCGCCTTGGCGTGAGGAGAGGATTGGTGTATGAAGAGAGGTATAAGTGGAGCGTGGGATTGACAAATGGGGAGGTTGGAGAGGGGCAAGGGAATAGTACATTGAGATAGGGGGAGAGGGAGAGAGAGAAGTATGAGAGAGAGAGAGAGGGAGAGGGAGAGGGAGAGAGGGAGGGAGAGAGGGAGAGAGGGAGAGGGGGAGGGGGAGAGAGAGAGAAGAGAGAGAGAGAGAGAGAGAGAGAGAGAGAGAGAGAGAGAGAGAGAGAGAGAGAGAGAGAGAGAGAGAGAGAGAGAGAGAGAGAGAGAGAGAGAGAGAGAGAGAGAGAGAGAGAGAGAGAGAAAGCTTGTTTTCACGATTTTCGAGCTAATGAACCAGGGTCAGACGGAAGAGGTGACGGTACAAGTTATTTCCGCGAAATACTCCATCTCAATCGCCCAGTCACGCTTGTGGACAGACAGAGGACAGAGAAATGTCAACCGTGATGTGATCTAGAAGAGCGATGTTTGTGACCGATGTAGCGACATGGACTTTCTGTGGTTGTAACTTGTTTTCATGAGTTTCGTCAGAATTCGCTGCTTTCTCGAAGCTCGGCAATTCAGGGAAGAAGACGGAGAGAATGATTGTGATATGCCTACTTAACACCTGTCTTTTGATGCAACAGTTATGAACTCAGCACTAGTTAGGCCTATCTTTTTCAATTTGACCATTCGTGCTAATCATTGTTCTATGTGTCGTAACTCTCATTTTCTCTACTCCTTTCTATTTCCAGCGCGGAACGAACAGCTGACAGGGAGCGAACCTCTTCCCCTTCCATCTCTGAAGGCCGGCAGCCACAGACGCAGAGAACGCGTCTGCATCTGTCCCGACGCCGCCAGCGCCCCCAGGGCACCACCGAGTCTGCGGCAGGGGTCGCCCCGGAGCGGGAGCGGGCCAGCAGTCGGCGCCGTCAGTACAGCAGCATACAGAGAGACAGGTAATGAGGCAAACTGGCCAAGACATTTCCAACGTACTGTGAGACAACGAACTAGCTAGTTCGACATTTAACCCGCGCCCGGCTGGGGGTCCTGGATTTCCACGCCCTGCTGGGGGGGGGGGGGGTGTTTGAACACTTGTAACTCGGCTCCTGGGTCACGTAGCGATACGCGGAAGGCGGCGTTCGAAAGAGCGTAAAAAATAATGACGAAATCACTTCGGTCAATTTTTTGGTCAGGTCAAAGGTCAGGTCACAGAGGTCATTGAAGGCAAAATTTCGCCGATTTCCAGGTCGAATGTCGAAAATTTCCAAGAAGCCAACGCATAACTCGAGAACCAATAGAGCTACAGCGCTGCAGAAAAGCGCATTCGATAGCCCTATTAACGCCCTTTCTGAGTAATCCTCTCAGATTTGACCTAACGTCAACGGTTTTGCCTGCAGGGGGCAAAAACTGCAAAAATAGCCGATTTTTTCGGAAACAGTTTTTCTGCAATAACTTTTGACCCAAGCCTTGTACGAGCTTACTTTCACCGGCATCGTGTTTCTCTCGTCAAGACGCATCGAATGAACTGTAAGTTGACCTTGAAAGGTCAACTTGAAAATTTGACCTCAGGTCAAGGTCATGACCTGACCGGAAAGGGTCATGTTGCATATCAGTCAATCCGTATCGTCGAGCTGAACACATATAAGGCATTTTCATCGCGCTAGCATGCCTCTATCAAAAGTTATTTGCGAAAAACTGTTAGATACCATTCGTGGCCTAAGATTACCTCAGGGCATAAACAAGGGCCACGGACACCATTTTCATGTTCAGTGTGTCTAAAACACTTGTAATTCGGTGTTTGGGAGTGTTTATAATCTCTTTTGTCCAAAAGAGGCGCATTTCAATTTTCTCCCATTGACTTATAGGTAATGGGGAGGTCGCAAAATTGACCTGACCTTAGGTCATCGATATCAAAATTCTGAGATATACATTTTGTACATGCTATTGCTCTTAGCAATCGCTGAAAGTTTCAAAGCGATCGGTCACTCGGTGTAGCTATGACAGACATTGAAACTTTTTATGAGGTGAGGTCACTTCAAGTGACCTGGTGACCTGACCTTGAATGACCTTGGTCTGAAATTTTCACATGTGTAGAATTGATGTATGATAAGGTGTACCAAAAACGAACCCTCCCAGCAGGGCGTGGGTTAACGGGCAATGCGCATATTCAGGCGAATATTTCATGACGTTAAAAGTGACTGCAAATAGAGGTAGAAAACGTATGAAGCAGATAGGTAACCATTCTTAGGCCCAATAGAAGCATTAGTATTGAATATTGATTTTAGCTCGCAGATTCAAATTGATATCGAATTTGAAGCTCACCCCGTTATTGGCTAATCAAGGGCACTAAAGATGATGGTGTACGTGCCTTACACCTTAACGTAGGATTGAATCCTACAGGACTGCCACCAATACGGCGGAGCCTACATCAGCTGACGGCACCACTGACGCGGCGTCATCACCCGGCCGACGTCAGTACGTCACTTTGCGACGTCAGAGACCGACTGAAGCCACATCAGCGGAGTCGGAAGGAGAGGAAACACAACAGCCAGGCCGCAGACAGTGAGTGGCGGGTGTCATCGGGGGCTGATGGGACTATTTGGGGTAATGTGGAAGGAATGAAAATGGGATTAAATGGGAAAGAATAATAAATCGTGTGCGAACATAAAAAAAGCTACAAAAGATCGATACCACAATTAGGTTTTAATAATGAGGCGTAGATAATATGAAGACTATTTTCATCTTTTGCGCATTTCTATTCTATGATTTAATTTGCTACTATACCAACTTTTTACCACCCTGAGACAACTTCATGAGCCAGTCTCCAGTCGGTACGTGAAGCCGAGCTTCTTGACTTTATTTATTTTTTTTTTTTAAATCCTAAGTACAAGGTCGAAAAGGTGTTAGCGAAAGCTTTGGAAAACAACCTTTACTTTATAACGTCCAGACAGTGGTTATTATCCCTCGCGGGCCCGGGGGGGCGTTTTTCGCCCCCCCTGGCGAATATTTGCGATAGCTCCCGAACGCTTAGGGATAGGAAAGCGAAACTTTCAGTACCTTTTCTCCCATCAATTTGACATCTTCTGAAGTAAAAAATTTGGACCTAGCCCCATTGATGACGTCACAAAGTCCATTTTTCTAGACCCCTGCACGGCAAATTTCGGCGTCACAGACGCAAACTTCAAATAGCTGCTAAAAATAGAGTTTTAGAGATAAAGACAAATTACGAGCACGGTTGTGTAGCGTTTGACCTAGAGAAAAATAGAAAAATAGTTTTGGTGACTTGAGGTCAGAGGTCATGTCAACGACCCCGAAATGTGGTTTTAGTTTTTCGCAAATAACTTCGACAAAAACGGTCCTAGAGCTACGGCAATGGTACCATCGCATTCGCCTTGTCAAGCCGCGTCGAATGATGTATATTTTGTTCGGAAAAGGTCAAGTTTTATGTTGACCTCATGTGACCTCGAATGACCTCTGGTTGACCTTGACACATGAGAGGTCATTTATGATGGATGTTTACCCGCTGATCACGAATCTGGCATCTATTTTCCTCTAAGCCTTCATTTAGAGCTTCTGGACGGCAAAATTGTCTTATTTATTATTACTAACTTGAATCAGTGAAATAGCCTCTAGCAGGGATACTCTTCTGTGACCTTGACCTTTGAGCAGCCTTGTATCGTAGGATGAACCACAAATAGGGAACTGATAAGCCTCAAAACATTTCAAAACATCTTGGAAGCTAGCACGCAAGATGTGCGAAAAAGTGCCAAGTTTGAGGTCAATTTTTAGCGTGACCTTGACCTTGACCTTTAATTCTAAGCACATTTTCGGAATCCTCAGATTCTCTTCTTTCGTTTGACACCCAATTTTGCCGGTTTGATGCAGCCTGCCGTCCTCTAGAAGGCTTACTTTGAGATCACTACACATGTGCCGGTTTTTGCCTTTGACCTTGACCTCTGACCTTGAAAATTGACCTGAGGTCAAAAATTTTAGGTGCTTTAGAATCGTCTCGTAAGGACCTTTCGTTTGGTATCGCTTTTGTTTCCGTAGCTCCCTTATTTACGGAGTTAGACAGGGGGGGCGAAAAACGCCCCCCCCCCGGGCTGCGGTGGTTGGGATTACCCCCCGGGCCCGGCCGGGTTATTTAGTAATGCATTATCTTGGCTGCGTCCACAGATACATAACCCTACAGAGGTCTAGGCCCACTGCTGCTACTTCAACGCAGCCAACGACTTCAACTGAAGAGACCTCCACGACTCAGCCAACAAATCCGGTAGGTTTGCTTCAGAAACGCCTGTATATATTTCTGTGTCTGCATGTATTGTGAGATTCCCTTGCGCATATCAAAATTCAGCGGAGTAGATGTGTGCTATACGTAGTATTATGTGCGGTTTCCCATATGGGGAACGGTATGCATGTGAATGCACACAACTTAGTCTTGTGTCCATTGCTTTTGTTGTACGAGCCGTCATGCGTCTCAAGTCATCGTTCGCCCTAGAAGCCGCCGTGTAGTAGTCTGCCCCGCTGAACATTGCCCCTGTGTCCTAGTGGACCTACTTCCACGAGTATCCAGACTCGTGGAAGCGGTCCTTAGAAACCGTAGCTGCTTTGCTTCTTAGTGCTGACGCACGGCTCGGGTTTCAGGTGGAAACCGAGCCTGCCGTCACCGCTGTCAGTCCCTCGGAGGAAGGCGCTGGTCGTCCCCGCGGCACGGCGGCACTGCTGTCGCTCAGTGACCCCGCTGAGGTCGAGTCACTGCTTGATCTTACAGACGACGCTGTCAACAGTCTGGACACTGAACCTAGACAGAGGAGGATTCGCATTCGCCTGCGAAGGCCTGGGGAGAGAACGAGGAGTAGCACGAAAAAAGCTGAAGCTGTTGCCGAAGAAGAGGCTGCAACAGCTACTACAGAAGCGGCTACAGAAGCACCAGAAGTTGTAACGTCAGCGACGACTGAAGAAACCGCGAAAGGGGTTACTGTAGCCCCCATTGAAATTCCAAGTGGGGTTTCCGAAGAGCTGCTTGCCGAAGAAGTCACTGAGGGACCGATTGACGAGCAAAGTGATTCGGTGACCAGCGAGGAGACTCTTGAAAGCGATAACAACGGACGCAAGATTCGAGTGATTCGCGTCAAGAGACCGCGTGAGCGAACCACGCAGCCGACAACTGAAGAGACGTCAGAGATTTTAGAGAACGAGGTCACAGCTGACAGCCTGATTGCTGCCGAAACGACCGCCCAAAGTGAAGTAGCAGAGGCGGCCGGCTCTTCCCCCACCGCTGAGATTGGCTCTGTGCGCATTGATGCGGAAACGGAACTGTCGTCTCCCAAAACTGCTGAGGTGGAAGATCGTGAGAATGCCCTTGTTGGCAACGCAATCTTATTTGAAGAAGGGATCCGTGGACGTTCATTAGAGGAAAAGACGAACACAGGCACATCGCAGGATGAGCCTGACTTCATAGACCGCAACACTCTGAGAAGACTAGGAACGAGGAGACAAGGTCTTGACCGGGCACGCACAGCTCAGTCTGTTGATGAAGATCAAGAAAAGAATCTTAACGATAACGTAAGAAGCAGGCCAAGAATTGGAGTGCGCAGACAAAGAGTTAGACCAGTTTCGGCCGGAAATGTGAAAGAGACTGAGCCAACAACTGATAGACAAAGCTCAGCCGGGGAGGGAGTGTCAGAAAGAGGTCCTCTTCGTGGCATCAGGCTCATTAACCCGCGCACCGACGGGGGTCTGCGCCAACTTAGTACCGACGGGGGGGGGGGCGGATGACCGCCCCCCCCTGAGATCTCGAGAACGAAGCAAGATAGCAACAAGCGGTAAACGGCATCGGATACGCACGGTCAAGATCTACAATTTTTACTAAGGTCATTTTCAGGTCAGGTCAAAGATGACGTCACAGGGGTCGAAAAAGTCAAAATGGCGGCGCTAGATATGGAGAGAGTTTTTCTCGAATAACTTTCGAACTAGTCAAGATAGGAACAAACTAAGGGCATCATCGTGATCCTCTCGTCAATCCGCATCGAATGATATATGTTGACCTCGAAAGGTCAAGGTCAAAGGTTGACCTCAGGTCACGTGACCTCGAGGTCATCATGTATATCATTCGATGCGTCTTGACGAGCTGAACACAATGAGACCATCCAAGCGTCTGTATCTTGTTCCTGTACGGAGTTATTGGCCAAAAACCTTTGGTGACCTTTGATGACGTCACATGACCTCACAGCTGCCCAACAGCAAAACAGACCTCAAGGTAGTGAAGGTTGATCGTATATGAAGTCATGTATGGTATATGGGGCCATTCCGACCCGTTTTAGTGGTAAAAACAGGGAGTTGATTTTTCCCCCATTGACTTATAATGGGGAGGTCGCGAAATTGACCTGACCTTAGGTCACCGATTTCAAAATTCCGAGATATACAAATTGTAGCTACTAATGACCTATTAATATCCTGCGACTTTCAAAGGCCTCCGACATCTACTGTAGCTCTGGCACGGTGACAAAGTTGCAAAAAAGTGACTTGAGGTTGGGTCATTCAAAGTGACCTGGTGACCTGACCTTGAAAGGTAGGAGGTTCAAACTTGCACACCATGTGTAAAATTGATAAGGGAATAGTCATACCAAATTTCGCGGCGCTACGCGCCGCGGTTTTCCCGCTATTCGCGAAAAACCTCAGGGGGGGGCGGATATCCGCCCCCCCCCGTCGGTGCGCGGGTTAATCTGAGGAACAGGGGTCCAGTGCTGCGAGGAAGATCGCGGGATGGATTGACATCTTCCAGTTCCACGGGGACGACACAGATTTCCACTGATGTGCAAACGGCCACGGAGGCGAGCGATGTCATACCCCCGACTGATGAAAACACCGAACAGCCTGACGTTTCACAGGTCACTGTCACAGAAAAAGTGGCTGTTCTGCTAGAACCGTCCACAGACCTTGCTGAAGAAACGTCTGAGTCTCTTGTATCTCCTGAGGCAGCTGAACGGACGAAGCCAGATGATACGACCTCAGATGATACGAAGCCAGCTGTCGATGGCAAGGGGACCACGCAGTCAATTCGTCAACCACCACGACGAGGACTTTTCCGACGTCTTCAGAACCCGGCAGAGGGCTCCGAGCCTTCTGAAGGGGACAGCCAGAGCTCTGATAGAACTCTAAGGCGTCTGAGAATTGGTGGTGACCGGAACGTCATTGGTGGTGGCACAATCCGTAGACGTTTTAGGCAGCGTGGAGGACTTGGCCGCAGACGACCTGAACGACCACTTCTCACCTCAGGAACGGAAGAGCCAGAAGCGGGTGAGGATGTAACTACGGAATCGAGTGCATCTAGTCCGCCTTTGGAAACCAGCGAAGGCTTGACTGAAAATGGAGAGCTACCTCTGTCACCGACTGAACCCGGGACTACATCTGACTCTTTGCAAACCTCAACTGAGGCAGATATAGATGCCACCGCTACAACAGAGTCAGGCCGTTTGAATGGCAATGCCGATATCACAACCACTTCTGTTTATCCAGATGACCTCACAACTACAGTCAGCACTGAAGAAGTAACGGAAACATCTACGGATTCTGTCGATGTGACTGTGCCCATAGAAACTGACAATGTTTTTACTGCATCGAATGAGGACGAATTGGGAGGCTTGCAGCCATTATCCACACCCCCAACTGGGCAAGAAGATGGCTCATTAGTCCCCACTATAACAGTTCCTGTAGAGACCACCACTATCGCCACGACTAAGGAGGATCTTATCACTGATGCGAACACTGAGAATAGAGAAGAGACTGACAATATTTCGGATAGAAAGGTCACAGGACTGAGAAGAAGACCTCCTGTGCGTGGATTGTTCCGTCTGAGGCAAACTGGAGAAGACTCAGTCGCTGAACCAGACAACAGAATCGGTCGGCCTGTTTCGTCGCAAAGAGATCGTCCTCGCGTGGGTCTGAGAAACCGTCTACGTTCTCAACAAAGAACAGACCAAAACGCAGTTTTGTCGGAAAAACAAGGTGAGCCAGACAGACCAACTGCAGCAAGGGAAGGTCTTCTTAGTCAGCCAAGTCTCGGATCAGATGCTGAAAGAGCCATCGTTGGGGAGGAATTGTTCGATGAAAGCTTTACCTCTGCCCAGGAGAACTTGCTTCGCCGCGTGAGGCCTTCAGGTGATGGTGCCATCGTCCGAGAACAGCTGACGCAGCTGGACGAAACTGGGGAAGCGAAAACCAATGCTGGTGATACGGAAACTGGTTCTACACCGTTAGACGAGGAACTGCAAGCTAATGCTGAAATCGACACGCTGAGTAGCGACACAACAACTACCGCGTTGTCCAATGAAGAGGGCATCGATGGTAATTCTGAAGCAGAATCAAATGAGGATAACCTTGAACCCGCTACTACAGAAACATACGAAGACGTTGATCTACCCCATCAGGATGCAAGCACTGAATCATCAGAAACATCAAGCTCCACTATAAATCCAAGTGAAGAGACTACGTCTGGTACAGCCCCAGAAGAAGGCTTGGAAACAACAACCGAAGCAATCACTCAGCGGTCTACTCCGGAAAGGAACACCTTGTCAATTGCTGACAGATTAGCGATCCTACGTTCCTCAATCGGAAACCGTAACAGTGCTCCATCTTCCACTGCCTCTCCTCCTAAAACAACTGCAGTAGCTGTTCCTCCGGTGTCGACCACAACAGAAAGCATTGAAGAATCTCCTGTTGAACGTCTTCAACGGCTGAGACAGAGTTTCTTGGCCAATGCTCGGGAGCGACCTGATCCGCTTGCTGCCCTGCGCCGTCGAACAAATGGTCCGAGACCTCTCCAGCGACCATCATCACCAACATCAAACGAAGAAGATGGTGAAGCTACGTCACCTGCGGCACCTGTTGATGTTTCAATCTCATCACTGGAATCAGGAGAAGCCCCTAAGCCTGAAAAAGAAACCAAGCCATCGCTGCAGAAGTCAACCGAGGGAAGTCCAGTTGATGAGACTGATCGCAGCATTGGCACCCTGGTGAACAATAATGCACCTTTCCGGAGAAAGTTTGGTGGCCCTCGACAGCGGCCATTCCCCATTCGACCGTCGTCTCAGAGGCGGAGTAGCCTGGGGAGTCGTCTGCGTGAGCGTCTAGCTGCCACAGTCGGCCTCCCAGCGTCCCCTGGGGCTGAGGAAGATGAAAAAGAAACAGTGGATGCTGCGACAGCCAACAAAGACGAGCTTGTGGCTCCCGATGTCGTGCAGTCACCCACGCCTTCTTCTTCCATTGACGAAGAAACTAACACCTCACCCAATGACAGTGAAGGAGCTGGTGCAGCCTCAGCCAGTCCCGAAACCGTATCATCTACCACAAGACGCCCACCGTTCCGACCTTCGTTTAGATCATCGCCCAGCACAGACATTGCGGCGCTTCTCAAAGAAAGACTGAGTCTGCGTCCTAACATAAGACAATCTGAACAGGCCACAGTTGCGGCCACAGCAACTACCACTGAACGGCCAATCCTCAGCGGAAACGCTGCCGTTACAAACTCTGAAGCTGATAAAGATACAGCATCACCGTCGCCAAGTCTTTTCCGACAAAGACCATCAGATGCTGGAGGTTTGAGAAGCCTCAGACAAAGACTGGCTGGACTCAGCAGCCCTCAAAACGTAGATCCTACCCCAACTCCTTTGCCGGAAACTACTTTTGATTTCGAAAACGACAAGGAAGAAAATGCTATCATTGCAGATGCTACAACCGAAATAAATGAACAAATTCCGGAGACCACGGCAAACGATATTCAGAAGACTACATCAGAATCAAATGAAGAGGAGCAAACGACTGCTGCTCCCAACGATGGTCAGGCTGAGACGCTGCTAACTGCATCATTGAGTTCATTGCCAGATAATGAAGAAACAACACCGTTTCCTGCTGAATCGGCGTCATCCTCAGTTACAGAGGGTCTCCGAAATAGTTTTGAATCTCAAGGTGTTCTTATCAACAAAGAAACAAATGGACTGTTCGTCAACGATTTGAATGGAACTCCTGATCCTGAAGCTGATGAGCTGGAGCTTCAAACCACCACAGAGCGTACAGCTTCCACAAGACGATCAGCTCTACTCCGGTTTAGCAGCCGCTCTAGGAAACCGGCTACCACCTTCACAGGAACGCTTCCCAGTTCTGTTGATAATGAAAGGTCCCGAAGTGACTTGGCAGCTAAGCTAGCATCGCAGTCGAACACAGAGTATCCACTTAGTGCTCTACGAAATCGTCTTAGAGAAAGGTTGGCAGCCAGCATTGGTTTGAGTAGTTCATCGGCAATCAAGACCCAGTCAGAAACTAATCCCTCTGACAGCCGTGATGAACCAACTCCAGTTGGCTTCTCCCCTGTCGCGGCGTCAACGACAGAGGATCAGGCTGAGATATCCACCACGGAGCTTCCAGAAGAAGCTACAACATTGCCCGAGGAAAGAACTACTATCAACATCGAAACAACGGCTGCAGACGTTAGCAACACTACAGAGATAAACGTGTTCGATTCGGAAAATTACAGCACCACCACTGGCTATGTAACCGAACTCAATTCTGCCTCCACTACCGAGAGAGATGTTGTGGAATCTGAGTCAGACTCACCAAGCTTTGAAACTTATAATGGAACCCCATCGTCTACCATTGCCACCATCGTCACAACATCCACAACAACTCCCCGGCCTCGTAAGCTGAGTCTTGTTGAGCAGTTGAGACAGCGTCAAGAACAGAAGAAGTCCAGCGTGCTGAGCCTGGTTGAGCAGCTGCGATCTAGCCTGTTCGGCAGCCAACAGGAAAAGGAAGCGGAAACAGACAAAACAACTACCACAGCTGCACCTATTGAAGACAGGACGCAAGAGCTCGCAAGAGATGTATCCGAAGGACAACCGATCGAAACCACGACGTTGTCTTTTGAAGAAATTTACACGGCCACTACACCTGCTGAGGAAACTACTACAACGATACCACCCGATACCACTACCCTGAGCACTACAGAGTCTTATGCTGACAATGCAAGTTCTTCTACAGACCGTCCACTCAATACCGATACATCTACTGCACCAGTTCAAGCTGAAGACAAAACTGAGCATAGTCTCCAGCCCGAACTATCACCGGAACATATCTGGAGCACTACGAAACGTCCACTTAATGATGGTGTTGTGTATGCAGTCGCAGTTGACCCTGCCACATATTTTGCAAGCACAACAGAAGCCACGAATCAGGCCCTCTCAACACCCTGGCCAACTGAATCTCAGTCGTCCGGTATCGAGTTTTACGAAGAAGGCATTGTTTACGCGACCACTTTGCAAGATAGCGGCTCCACGCCTCAAACTACGAATGTGTCAGAACAAACGGAGTCAACCACTGCATCTGCGGATGAAGGCGAAAACCTGTTCACGTCAACAGAACAGTCCGGCACCATCGGTAAGACTGAGAATGAAGATGCCGCCGGACTAACTGAAGCCGCTGCAGGTCTGTTCTCGACCTCTCAAAACCAAGTAGCTGCATCCGAATCTGAAGCCGGTACTACAATCTTATCGCAAGAAGAGATTGATGTGTCAGGTCGTTCGACCACTCTTCCTCCAGGTACAGGGCTTGCTGCCTCGAGCCCCCGAGACACATATGATGGAATCTCAAGTGAAGCGTCACTCCCTTCAGATTCCGAGGCAGCACTTCTGTTCACGGGAGGCCGCGAGGGACGTCTCCTGAAGTTCGAGAATCTTCCCGTGGACACAGAGCGTCCAATCGTGCCACCTACTGTGGCTCCAGGACTAGTTCCAACGGGGAATCCTGGCTCGTTCGTTTCTGTTAAAGTCAGCGTGTCTTCGTCGGTCGAAGAATCTCCTGGACATACTGAGAGCATCCAAGTGGCGGTACCCACGGAACAGCCCGCAACAACGACTGGTCTTCCGACGACGGTAGGAACTCTTATCGCGGATGATCTAGAACCGACCACCACAACCCCAACGTCGACTGAAGGGGAAGAGGTTGAAGATCACTGGTTTGAGCCAACGGAACCAATTGAAGTGACAAGTACAGAAGATTCTCTGCCTTCATCCACTGATGCATCGAGTCTCGACACTTTGGAGGGTCCCACAACGACGTCACCGGTTGACGGAAGCCTGGCAGACCACGCGCTGGACCGGCCTCGAGAAGCCTCTCTGGTGCACGCGCTCCAGAAGAGCACTCCGCCAGAACCCAAGCCGACGCTGTTCAACAGCCAGGGTCTGCTGGCGTACTCGACGGTGACACCTCGCTACAGAGATCCTGACAGCCTGTTCAAGAGGAAAACATATCTGAGTGGCGGAGGTGCTCACCAAAGTCCCGTCACGTGGATAATCGGAGTGTTTTCTTTGCTTCTGCTGTGGAGTCACTTGTGAACTCATGATGTATGGAGCTCTTAAGGCAAACTTATCCAGTGCTTTAGCGTATGAAGGTGTGAGACATTGGTAGAGGTGTAATGTGGAAGCCTGTGGTCCTCAGGCGATGATGAACAATCGCACGATCATTGTCTTTAGTAAAACAGCGTAAGTGCCTGCCAGTGTCGCGCGGGTAGGGAGTGTTATATGCTGAGTGTCACGTATAGCGTGAATGATTTGTTGTCCTTGTTTTCTCAGTGACTGTTTTAGGTGCATTTTTATTGGCACATAATTCATCTTACTCATGTGTGATTTGATTAGGAGAGGACCGAGTGCTATAAATGTTAATGTAAGATTTTGTATGTAGTTGCTGCCTTTTGATGTAGCCTAACTAGAACGTTTTGTAGCTTATCGTGCACAAATGAATAGGTACACACCTACCTACCTTTCGCAACAAACCCGTCTGAATGTTTTATTTTGAATAGTCTGGTAGTCGTAATATTGTTTTTCCAGTTCATAAATCTTAACTAAAATTAGCAACTTCGCTTGTTCACACAAACTATTGCACCGTGTGATGCGCGCCCTATGTAATGAGCAAGCTTAGTTTCTTACTTGTAGCCACGTGTGTTTGATTGTGTATAATTGCATATTTAGGTGTGAAATGTCCCGACTCCCCTTGGCTCAGCATGACGAATGTGATAAACTGAACGTTCGACCAGCACGAAAGCTGGAGTGTCTTCTGCATGTCTGACTTTCGTAGATTCGCCTCGCTTTGTACATATATTTTCTAGTGTGCTGCTCGAGTGCTCCATGCGTTCGGATCGAGTTGTCTGTACCTATATGTGCCAGTGATTTGTGTGAGCCGTTCGACTCTCCCGCTTGCACCAGTGGCTTCTTAGTGAGTAGCACACCTTTCCATAATCCAGCCAATGCGATCAATGGATTCGTTTTACCACGATCTATTCAGTTTATTATGTGCCTGTACAGTGAACGAGGAATGAAATACATCGACGGATGTGTTACCAAAGGCATTTGCACAAAGCTGTTGGAGGGGATGTGGACTGGAAACACCAACACACACTGCGTATTCACAGAACTACCAAGCCCATGAATACACACATTTGCACTGGACCTAAGCGTTAGTAATCTTTTGTTATATCAGTTGGTTAGCTAGTAGATGCTAAACACCAAAAACTGGTAGCCTTATAATTTATAAACATGATCATTATCAATGCTGACGAAATTCTTCCGGCTGGAACACGCTACGTAAAAAGAAACAACACGAATTCCAGAAGTCTCGATTGTGTAGATTTCTTCGAGGCCACTAATACACATGTCATTTGTTTCAACGCTGAGGTCGCCAAAACTGAACACGATCCACTATCCAGGCCGTTAACCCGCGCCCTGCTGGGGGGGGGGGGGTGTTTGAACACCCCCCCCCCCCTTGTGGTTTTTCGTGAATATGCCGTTTTTGGTACACCTTATCATACATCAATTCTACACATGTTGTGAAAATTTCAGACCAAGGTCATTCAAGGTCAGGTCACCAGGTCACTTGAAGTGACCTCATCTCATAAAAAGTTTCAATGTCTGTCATAGCTACACCGAGTGACCGATCGCTTTGAAATTTCAGCGATCGCTAAGAGCAATAACATGTACAAAATGTATATCTCAGAATTTTGATATCGATGACCTAAGGTCAGGTCAATTTTGCGACCTCCCCATTATAAGTCAATGGGAGAAAATTGAAATGCGCCTCCTTTGGTCGAAAGACATTATAAACACTCCCAAACACTGAATTACAAGTGGTTTAGATACACTGAACATGAAAATGGTGTCCGTGACCCCTGTTTATGCCCTGAGGTCATCTTAGGTCACGAATGGTATCTAACAGTTTTTCGCAAATAACTTTTGATAGAGGCATGCTAGAGCGATGAAAACGCCTTAGATGTGTTCAGCTCGACGATACGGATCGACTGATATGCAACATGACCCTTTCCGGTCAGGTCATGACCTTGACCTGAGGTCAAATTTTCAAGTTGACCTTTCAAGGTCAAGTTATAGTTCATTCGATGCGTCTTGACGAGAGGAACACGATGCCGGTAAAAGTAAGCTCGTACAAGGCTTGGGTCAAAAGTTATTGCAGAAAAACTGTTTCCGAAAAAATCGGCTATTTTTGCAGTTTTTGCCCCCTGCAGGCAAAACCGTTGACGTTAGGTTAAATCTGAGAGAATTAATCAGAAAGGGCGTTAATAGGGCTATCGAATGCGTTTTTCCGCGGCGCTGTAGCTCTATTGGTTCCCGAGTTATGCGTTGGCTTCTTGGAAATTGTCGACATTCGACCTGGAAATCGGCGAAATTTTGCCTTCAATGACCTCTGGGGACCTGACCTTTGACCTGACCAAAAAATTGACCGAAGTGATTTCCTCATTATTTTTGACGCTCTTTCGAACGCCGCCTTCCGCGTATCGCTACGTGGCCCAGGAGCCGAGTTAGAAGGGGGGGGGGTGTTCAAACACCCCGCCCCCAGCAGGGCGTGGAAATCCAGGACCCCCAGCCGGGCGCGGGTTAACCCTCGCCCGCACATGCCATTTTCCCATCCTAGAACGCACATGGGGGGGGGGGGGTTGCCACCCCCCCGCGCCATTTCGTTCCTGTTGGAGCTAGAGCTTAGCGGTAAAGACCAAAAGGATTATTTGGGAAGAGACGAATCCAATGATACCCAGTTTTACCTTCTCAGGTCAGTCATTGACCTTCCAGGTCAGGTCAAACTAAAAAATGTTGCTGTTTTGGGTCACCGTTGGATATCAAGTGCGCTGCTTATCAAATACCGATGACGATGCTGTTTTCTGGTGCCAAGCCAGCTAGAACCTCTTTGTCACACTACCCGACCAGAATTTTGCTGCTGAGGTCATTTCAGGTCAAGTTAGGTCAAGGTCAGTTATATGTGTTTGTATGTCTGTGTGTGTCTGTGTGTATACTGATGTGTGCACCGATTGTTTTTGGGTCCATATTACATGAACTTCATGATCTGAGAAGCTTTTACCAAAAATGCAGTCAAAAAACTTCACAAAAAGTAAATTCAGCTTGCCTAAAACGCAATTATCTTAGATGACCTAGGTTGACCTTGACCCTGACCTTGACCCCTGTACATCGTCGAACAGCATGTTCCATGATAGGTGGGAGGTAAGACTGGCAAAAAAGGCCGAAATCAGGGTGTCAAAAGCTCACAAGGCCCATGGCAAACGCAAGATGTTGAGAATTGGCCATTTGGGTCATGACATGACCTGAAAAAACAAGGTCATATCTCCGAAACCAAAAATCACAGAAACTTGAAATTTTCAGTGGACATCAAGAAAGGATAGAGGAGCAGCTATACGAAAAATCAGCCTTCTAGCTCTAAAAATGTTGAGTGCAGAGCAGAAAGACTACCTGGGGGGTGGCAACCCCCCCCCCCATGTGCGGGCGAGGGTTAAAAATGATCGTCAGTTTTTGAACATGCAACAAAACAAGCGTGCATCAAAACTCCGTAACAAACTAATTAATCTATGGTCAGGCGACGAGGACTGGCCCTTATGATACAGTTTTAACGTGTTTTCATCAATCTTCAATTATCAAAACGTTTGGATTTTTGAATCATTCTATCTATGACTGAAGGGATGAGGAAATGTATGAAAACGATAAAAGTTCTCAATGATGCACAGGCAACGTAAAAATAAAAAAACAGACTTAAATTGTCTAAAAATGGGCTAAATATCCATTGAGTTCTATGTAAAGCCTTTACACCTAATCCTCAGACCGAAAAGGATGCCACAACGAGACCACCAATTCTGGTAAGGAGAAAGCCGTACACCTTCTTTCCTATTTCCCGGCAAGCCATATATAAGCAGAAATAAATTTGTTTTTCATGTTCGGCGTACAGTTCATCCTTTGTACCTATAGGTATTCTCTGTTTTTTTTGCATCACTTTTTTAGCCAAACGCATATGCGTACAGAGCTTCACTCTATACCTGTTGCTGAGCTCAGGGGCGGATCCAGGAAAATTCCAAGGGGAGGGTCATGAATCGAAGTGGTGCCCCTACCTATACCCAAAATTAAAAACTCAACGGATTTCGTCCACTTCATTTTGGTGGTGCCCCCATTTTCAGTTTTTTTCTTTTTATTTTTTATGTTTAGTCAGTATCTTAACTCTTAGCCACAACCACATTTACCAACTTGTAAGCAACTGCAAGTATATATGAATGTGCTATGTGTATATATGTTGTGGACGCTGAGTAGTGAGTACTTACCAGGAACGTTATCGGGTAAGCGAATCGTTGTCAGTCCGACGAACTTGACCCTGGCGTCTAAAGGGTCTGTCCTTGACACTTCAGGCTTGTCAGGGGCACCAAAGTCCTTCCAGGGACACCACAAACCTGTCAGGGGCACCTACGGCCTTGTAGGGGCACCACTGGCCTGCCAGGAAGCAGGGGCACCACAGGTCTAGCAAGTATACACGACAGGCCTGTCAGGGGCACAACGGGCCTGTTGGGCCCATGAGCACCCCTAGGGGCAGGGGCACCACAGTCCTTCCAGGGGCACCGCAGGCCTGTGAGGGGCACCAGCGGCCTAGCAGGGGCACCAGTCAACACAGGCCTGCCAGGGGCACCACAGACCTGCCAGGGGCACCAGAGGCCCGCCAGGAGCACCACCGACCTTGCATGGGTAACTTGGGCCTGTCAGGGGCACCACGGGCCTGTCGAGAGGCACTTCAGGCTTTTCAGGGGCACCATAGTCCTCTCCGGGCGCAGGGGCACCAGAGGCCTGCCAGGGGCACTACAGGTCTAGCAAGGGCACCACTGGTCTATCAGGGGCACCACGAGCCTGTCATAGCCAGGCATCTCAGGCTTGTCAATGCCCAGGGGCACCACAGGTCTGTGAGGGGCACCAGCGACCTAGCAGGGGCACCAGTCAACACAGGTCTGCCAGGGGCGCCACAGACCTGCCAGGGGCACCACAGACCTGCCAGGGGCACCACCGGCCTCGCAGGGGCACCTTGGGCCTGTCAGGGGCACCTCAGGCTTGTCAGGGCCCAGGGACACCACAGTCCTTCCAAGGGCACCGCAAGCCTGTCAGGGGCACCACAGGCCTGCCAGGGGCACCACAGGCCTAGCAAGGCACCACCGGCCTTGCAGGGGCGCCTCAGGCCTGTCAGGGGCACCACGTGCCTGCCGGGGACACTTCAGGCTTGTCAGGGGCGTTACAGTCCTGTCAGGGCCCAGGGGCACCAGGCCCGTGGTGTCCCTGCTAGGCCTGTGGTGCCCCTGTCAGGACTGTGATAACCCTGATAGGCCGGTGGTGCCCCTGGCAGGTCTTTGGGCCCCCGGGCCTCAAGGGGGGGCATGACCCATGTGACCCCCCCTTGGATCCGCCACTGGCTGAGCTGTAATATCAAGTAGAATAAATAACGTCAAAACGAAGAATAACTTGTTCTAAGCAGAGGGAGCCGAAATGCAACTCGATTTCCCCATATGAAACGATCCAGCTTACTTTTAGGTTCTCTCGTATGAATAAGCTGTATTGCAGTACATGATATGATATGATAACTATAGACGCATGATATGATATCTAGTATGACGTTATAGTATTTGTGCAGCATGATGTAAACAGTTTGGCAGTTTTATACAAAAAATAACGCAACAGTTCAACATCCCTGACTTGATTTTGTTGCGATTTTCAGAAGCCCAGCTTGGCTGCCGTTCCTTCACTATCGCAGCTGCTACTACTTCTGGCGTCTGACGACTCTACGCTGGGCGGTCATCACGCCCGTGTGGCTCGATCGCCGCGTGACGACCCAGAACATCAGACACACAACAACTGGTACTGGTCTGACTCCCAATCAGTCGCAGCGCAGAGACCCTCTGCGACCCAGGTTACCAGTGAGACACCTGAAGATGACGACTTCTTCTTCGAGTACATGTATCAACACCCAGACGGGAGCAGCAGCGCTATCCCCGAGTCGGAGGTCGAGAAACTGCGGGGAGAAATTGAGCTCGCCGAACGGCTGCTTGAGGTCAAGGGAGGGGTGTCGTTATCGGTTTCTATAAGACAGCCAGTGGGACCTGGAAGTGCTTCATCGCAAGGGCAAAATTTTTATGGCCTTTTCTCTCAGGGAGAACCTGATGGCCACTTTGTCTACCAATACGAATTCGAGTATCCAAATGGTACCATTGAGTCTGTCCCGGATAGTGAGCTGAGAGATTTCCTTTATGAAACAGAGACCACCCAACGACTCTTCCAGAGTGGCTCAGCTTTCCAGACTCCAGGGAACGAGGTGGGTGCGGGTTCCCAGCGGATTGCTAATCGCGTTCCATTCGTTCCTCAGACTGTGCCAGGGGTGGAGTCAGACAATATCTTCAGCGCGAGACTAACGACTCATCCTCAGAGTACTGCTGATCACATCGTTCTGCATCACGAGCCTCTCAACAACTCCGATCCTGACGAGTATATTACGAATATAGTGCAGTTGATCTTCGGGCAGACCGAGCCTCCCAGCCCAGATCCCACGACAGCACCAGACACTTTCCTGAATGGCGAACTCACCACAGAAACGCCAACTACGACTTCACACTTCCCACTAACGACAGAACGAACCAGTTCTTTATCATCCGATGCAACGCCAGTCTATCCCATAACTGAGCCAACACCCTCTTCCGAACCTTCATCGCCATCATCTTCTTCTCATGCCAAATCCGTCGGAACTAGTGGCTCAAAAGACGAAGAACAGGTGGCCAAAGCTTTGGAAGCCGCCTTCCATCGCCTTCGAGCCAACAACCCATTCCGTCTAAGCGTGACGAAGGATCTGAAACGGCGCCCACCATTTGGAAAGAAACGATTTGAGGACAAAACTGTGCAAGGAAATCCCTCGACACGTTGGAAAGGTGGACATCGCTTGTCTGACATCGTTGTACAGCAAGCTCTTTCTGACTCATTGGTCGCTGTTCCACAGTCAGCATCTTCGATGGCACATTCGCCGGAACCAGCGTCACCAGAAGCACCGCTGTCATCGTTTCAGTCACAGTCCCAGGAAACGTTCTCTGACCAGCAAACCGACACATTTGCACCCGAGACCATAGCAACTGCACACCAGCTAGAAATAACAACGCATTATCCTACCATTGAGTCAGACCTTACAACAATCTTTGATGGAGATGAGGAGGAACCAGAGGTCACAACGTTCCATCCACCAAATGATGACGCCTTCCTCCATTTGCTTGCTTCACGGCGGCGGGTACGTCCTTCGTCCGATACCTCACCTCTGAAACGTCCACAGCTAATATTTCCTTCGACAGATCCCCAAGAAATCCAGACTACCTTACCAAGGCCCATTGGTCAAAATCCAATCAACTCGCTAAGTCCTGACATCGAAGAACCGGTTAACATCCCTACATCTTCTGAAAATGGCGATAGAGGGTATGCCGACAACGAATCACGCTTTCCAGACAATCAGGAAGCTTCACAGAGCGTCCAGGGCAACAATGAAGGACAAGACACGGATGAAGAGGTGGAGTTAACGACACCGCAGCCGCTGGAGTATGACTTGGCACCCGAAGCAAGACCTGTTCTTCCATCTGGAAAGAGAGTGAAAAAGATCAGGTTCGTTCGTCGGCGTCGTCCTCGCCCACGGGAAAATGTTGACCACATCAACGCCGGCAGCGCGCACACAGTCCTTCGTCACATTGTCGAGCATCTCCTGAATGACGCCAAAAGTTCCTTGCCGAGCGATGTTAGCAACAGCATTACTGTGGATGACGTCATGCACTCCATGCATTCTGTCTCAAACAAGATGAGTGCAATGGAGCCTGAGACTGGAACTGATGACAGCCACGATGAAGCCCACGATTTTCTGAAATTGGTGGTAAAAGATCTGCTCAAAGATGCACACGAAGATCACGAAGAACATCATTCGGGTGCCGATAACGTTCAAGGGAGTGAATCCTGGCCAACTCAAAATGTTCATGAAACTCTCAATCCCAGCCAGAATAACGCAGAGAAACAAAATCATCTCCATGTTAGTACGGCTCCTGGAAGACCAACAGATGCCAGAAGCACGGCGGTATACTCGGTGGCCTCTGGTACGAAACTAGAGAATGTATTGAGTGTCATCGATCCACAGGCGGCGGATATGGCAAGACAGGGTCTGGATGCATGGGTGAGGCGGAAAATGGGCGCAGCAGGTGATGACTCAACTACTGACTCAAATAGTGGTGATGCTGCGACTCCAAGGACACCATCTTTAGAAAACGGAAAGCGAGCAGGACTTTCGTTTCCAAGTAATCTTAGGAGAACTGCCGCGGCGTCCGGCGATGATGCACTAGATCCTGATGAGGATGAAGCGTTGAATAGGGGCACCGGCGTAAAGGCTTCACGGCCCTTCCTCCCGACATCCGTTTCAAGACAATCTTCATTGCCTACAGTTTCTTCGGTTCCGAAAGATGATTCCACATTCGAGATAACCACTAGAAGTCCATCTTTGGATGAACCGTTCGACAGATCCGATGTAAGCCAAGCATTGAGGCCAGGCGACCGTCAACAGTCCAGGCGAAGGAATGGTCCAGGCGGAGTAAGATTACAAAATCCTATAAGGTTCCCAGGTCATGTTATCGCAGATGAACATGAAAAAGAAAACATGGATGACCACTTACAGCAGAACTACACTGCTAGCGATGTCCTCACACCACCATCGCTCTCCCCCACGGAAGACATTTTGGAAACTACACCTATTCCAGAAGAAGATCTTACATCTACTATAGAATATGACAGTGAGTATCCATTCTTGGGAACAGATGCATCAAATCATGATCATGATCTTCTAGACATAACAGACAACATTTCCACGGCAGAAAGTAGCATAGACACCACTACCGAACAATACGACGAAGAGACGTTGTTGCAAGACCAAGCCGAAAACTTGCCCCAATCGCAGGATCCAGAATATGTCACGGACAAGGAAGACACAGAAAAGGAAGAACCCAGAAGACGGAATCGATTCCGCACGTCTTCATCTCGCCGCCGACCGTCTTTCAGAACTCGTCTTAGAAACAGGCTGAGAAGGCCTCGCCCGGTGCGACGAAAGCCAACCACCACCACGCCGCCTCCTACGACAACCACCACGCCGCCTCCCACGACACCCACCACGACTTCCCCGGTTCCACGAAGGCGACGGCCATCTAGACGACGCTTGCCAACAAGGCTGCGCCAACCGTCTCTTGCTGTTTCATCCGCGAAGGATCTCGATGCTCCCTCTACTACAACAGAAAATCCTACGACCCTAGATGATGTCACTGATCCACCGACGACAGAAACTCCATACGTTCCAGAAACAACATCCCCTAGATCTGCGGAGAGTCCACTCGAGCTAGACTTCACAACCTCTCATTCCACAGAGAGCCCAGAGACCTTCGAGCCGTCATCGCCTGCAACCACCAAGAATCTAGAAAGTCTTGACTATACAACCCCTCCTCCCACGGAGGATTTGGATATTAGCGACGTCACGCCAACCGTCACCACCTACCATCCTGATGTGAAATTTATTCCAACTGTGGCGCCTGAGCCTATACCAGATGATGGCGAGAGCCCTCCTGTGGTAGCATCGCTTGATGCACAGCAGATTCCGTCCCCACTAAACAGTGTCTCAAATACTAGGGATGGCGCAGGAATAGAAGACAATGCACCGGGTGAGAGAACCAGTGACCTTGGTGCTCGGACAAAGGCTGAGGAGCACTTATTGCGTTCTGTACTTGCAGGACCACCTATTAGCCAAGAAACCGAAAGGTCGGTATTTGGGACTGGTCAAACAGAAAAATCATCAATTTCAGCGCTGGGTCAAAATAGAAAACAGCCGCCTTCAACATTCATCGCCCCAAACGATGAAACGCACGAAAGCCTTTCTGATGAAACCGATGTGAACACCCTGGAATCTGAAGAAGATACGGAACACCTCTCACCCAGTCAAAGCGTTCAGAATGTCAGTCCTAGGCCAGCCAATTCAACCCTAGAGAAAGTCCTCGGGTTTGTGAATCCAGAGACGGCCGAGCTGGCTCGTCAGGGACTGAAGGGCTGGATCAGGAAGACAGTCGGCCAGGTCCGAGAGAAGACGGCTGTGTTCGTTCGAAGGCGACCCGGCGGCAAACCGGAGATAATCGGGAGAGGGAAAGTGGTCAGTCATCCCGGAGGAAAGCGGAAACTAGTGGTGGAAGCTCGACCTGCTGAAGAAGACATTGAACTTCTGGAAAATATCCCAGCTCCTGAGGCGCTGACGCTAGGAGCTGACGAAAGCCTACCGACGGTAGATGGCAATGTCCCTCTAGAAGAAAGGCCTTTCGCCAGTCTTCCTCGCCGCAAGCCAGCAACTATTCACATCACAACTCCAAAGCCAGACTTCTCATTCTCACCGTCACCAACCGTCACCAACCTAGGTCTTAGCGGCTACCCTAATTCCCCTTTCTTCCCCGCTTTCACACCACGACGTGGTTTTCCACCAGCCCCTATCCCTCGGCCATCCCTCCAACGAGCCCCTGTCGCACAGCCGCGACCCACGCCTGCGGCACCTGGGCCAGCGCCAACCCCTGGGGTCTGGACCTGGCAGACTGACACTCCCTCCAGGACGGCAGACTCCGACACCGGGGTCGATTTTCACCCTCCACTGTCCGGCTGGCGACCGGTAACGCCTGTACCTCTCTCTGATCAGGAGGACATCACTTTCATCAACCTTAAGCATCTGTTTCCGGAGTTTACCCGCCGGGCCGGGAGGAACGTAGAGTAAAAGAAACAGAAAATCAGACCTTGGATAGATCCTCTTCGGGCCTTTCCCAAAGTAGGTCCGAAAAGGACTTACTGTGGGAGAGGGCATTTAGGGCAAGGCTCGCAGTCCTAAGGGAGGTTATTCGTATGCTGTAGTAAAGCTTGCCCCATGCAGATTGTGTTCGACGATATCAAACAGCATCACAATCACTAGCATGTTACATACAGGGACAGTAACATTGCCACCAGAATGTGCTGCCTTCGCCAGAAGTGCATATCAGCATGGTTATGAGCATTGACAAACGACAATGAAAGACATATTCAGTCAACAGCATTTGCTTTGGACTGTGGCTACCAAAAGAGCGTATTTCAACGCAGCTATATAGTAGGATAGATATGGGATAGGTATATAGCGCTACATAATTTACAACAGACAAGGGATGATATGAATGTGTACGACCAATGGTTATTACGAGCGAGCGAGCGCAGCGAGCGAAGCGAAGTCTTTTCAATATAACGGAAAAATCTCAGTATGAGCGGCCCGGCCCGGCCCGGCCCGGCCCGGCCCGGCCCGGCCTGTAACGCTTTTGAGAGGCTTATATCTCAGCAACCGCTGGACCGATTGGCCTGCGGTCTTTTTTGTTGGGTAGCCCCATCCCTTCTACCCCGTAATTGACTACTTTTGATACATCTCAGTGACCGTCGTGGCACGTGCCACGTGAAAAGTCAAGGGTTTTCAAGCTGTTTTGCAAAAGTAGTGATTTTGAGAGGCTCATATCTCAGCAGCCGCTTGGGCGATTGACTTGCGGTAATTTTTGTAGGGTAGCAGCATCCCTTCTACCCAAAATGGGATACTCTCGATGCATGTGGGTCACCCCCAGTGCACGTGCACTGGGGGTGACCGTGCAAAATACAACAATAAGAGGTGCCAAATTTGTTCCCATTTCAGTAACTCGGTAATTACTGGGGCGATTTCGCTGAAACTTGGCATACAGGTAGGCACCCAGCAGGCAATGCATTCCCATGTGTTGCGGTTAAGGTGCTACTGCACGTGCGCACGTGCAGGGGGCGTTTCCAGATCTCGAGAACGGCTGGGCCGATTGCGCTCAAATTTGGTACACGGTTGGGGACCAGTTAGTAGGGTGCCGTGCAAAAGTCATTTTGGACCCCGTTTGCACGTGCGCACGTGCAGAATGCCGCTTCCTGATCTCAGGAACGGCTGGGCCGATTGCGTTCAAATTTGGCACACCGCTAGCGACCGGTTAGAAGGGTGCTTTGTGCAAGCCCGTTGGAAGCACCCTCTCGCCCTTCCGCACGTGCAGGGCTCACTATCTCGCTCGCTCGTTCTTCGCCCAAAAGGCGTTTTACTGGTAAAGTAGATTCAGATACCTGCCGTTCTTATTCCTGCGAGTGATGGGGAAACCGCTGCAGCGATAAACAATGTGTGTGCCCCTTTGCTCTGCACAGTATATACGTACCAGCATGTGCATGTCTTAGTTAGATATTTGCGTAGACCTCGGTGCGACGATGCACTGGATAAGCGTTTTGACATCAAGTAGCTCATATTTATGGGGTATTAGAGTGATAACAGGTGATAAGAGGAAGGTTCAATGGCTGACATGTCCTGGATAGCATTTAGGTACTTGTTATTTATTTCAGCGGTAGATAATGACAAGAAGCTATGCTAAGCATGTTCTGTACAATAGGCATGAGGTACTTTTAGCTATAACTATGTTGCACGATGCAGCAGTTGCATAATATAGGTACTGTAAAGCTGGCGTATCGTTTTGTGTGTCTATGTTGAAAACGTGCTCTCTTTGTTGCTAGACTTTACTGAAATCTATCAGCATCTGTCCGACGTGTTTGCTAAATATATTGCCAAACAGAGGTACCGGGGCTGAAATGTAGACTTTCTCTGGAAGCGAGATATGTATAAGTCAACAAATGCAGCGAATGGACGCTAAATTACATGGACGTAAATTCATTAACACACCGAAGTCAAGTTCAAGAAATGATTAGGCTCTATGAAAATGTAATGCGCACATTGTAAGCACGATTACACCCATGTCTAATGCTTATCAACTGCAAAATGGAGCAGCATCATGTTGTCCAATCAATTGCGCTTTGCATACTTCACTTCACTTTACTTCACTTTAGACCACTTCGGCCTTCAGCACTGTAGATTCTGATTGGATTGACGTGCTTTTGTGCAGCAGGGGACGTTTTATCGTTGCCAATAAGTAAGAGTGCACCAATCTACCAGTTTTGGTCATATTCGTTGACCTTTGGCTTTGATGCTATTGCTTATCAATGCTTTTGTGGCCATTCAGTTTCCCGACATCACGCTTTAACGATCCAACCTCAATCCAACGCGATATTCTTTATCAATCGAAAAGCCAATTCATCGTTTTTCTCATCTAATTTGATCGCCACAGCAACTGACCACTCAAACTTCGGTGCCGCTCTGCCGATGGAACCAGTCCCAGATCGATAATCGAAGCTCACTACACGAACCATCAGCAAAACGATCAGTCCTATCGAGATCAGGTCAACTCCATTGTGCATGGATGAACAGCTCACGGCTGATGAGACTTCCTGTCGAGTGGACCATAAGCGTTGCCACGCATGTTTGTTCGAGATCAGTATCGCTCACGCTGTTAGGCCGTGTTCAGTTCGGGGTTGGGGCGCACTGTGGTGGGGGGGGAGGGGAGGTGCAGCACCGATGAACCGGTCACTCGGGTCAGTCGCGGCTCAGTCGCCGTTGGGACCGACGGTAGTCGGCACGAGACCGTCTCACCGCCCATAGTCGTCTGCGATGAGATGAGATCCTACAATCTGCTCTGAAGTCAGCCAGAGAACGATGAAGTGCCTGCTACTGCTGCTGTTGCTGCAGCGCTGTATTCATCTGACTATCTGCCAAGCGGAGGACGGCTATAGCCCAAGACTGTGAGTACAAACATATGTTGGCATTGATGTTAAGTGAATTATAAATAACTTTACTTGTCATAATACCTTACGATATTAGCTTAGATATTAGTCTTTCATATGCGGCGAGACTCGAATATCTTCAAAAGTTATGTAGCTAACCTATTATGCCATCAAGTACATAGAGGAAGTTCGTCAAATAATTCGAAATATTCGCCAATAGAAGAATCCGTGCGCTAAATTTGCCACGATATAAAGCTCATCAACATACTAAGCCTGTTCTGATATTTCAGGCTGACGGCAGAGGAAAATGCCAATGAGAGCACCTGCGTGGAGCAGCCCACCTACAACGTCCTTCCTGCCGACTACGACAAGCTGATGCCGCCGCTGCTGAAGGGCGTGCCGCTCAACATCTACTTCACGCTGTGGATCATCTCCATCACTGAGATCAACGAGCTTCGACAGGACTTCACAGTCGACCTCTACCTCAGGATGTACTGGGTGGACTTCAGGATCAAGTACCCGGTCTGTGAGAAACGGCCTTTCATCGTGCTCAATCACGCGCAGTTGGATAAAATCTGGATCCCTGATATTTTCTTCAAACAGGAGAAAAGATCAAGTCGCCATTTTGTGAACCGCAGAAACGCTGGACTCAAGCTGACCAAATCAACTAACGAGGTGTTCTTTTCTGAGAGGATTACGCTGACCACTTACTGCGCGTATGATTTCCGCTTTTTCCCTCTGGACCGTCAAGCCTGCGTGATGGCCTTTGAGTCCTACAGCTTGGACGGACGCTACGCAAATCTTTCTTTCAAGCCCCTCGCCATCCACTTTGATAAGTTCAAGTTCAAGATCCCACAGTACGAGCTGAACTACGTCTCCCCTTACAGCTGCTACTATGACTACATGTACGAAGGATCTTACTTCCTAAACCAGAGCTGCATTCAGGCCAACTTCGTTTTCGATCGTCAGTTCAGCTACTATTTCGTACAGATGTATCTGCCGTCAATACTGATCGTCCTTGTATCCTTTCTGAGCTTCTGGATTCCTGTCGACAACGTCCCGGGCCGGGTCTCGCTCGGCGTTACCTCTCTGCTGACCCTCGCCACCCAGTTTACAACCATCCAGCGTTCTCTTCCTCCAGTTTCCTACGTGAAGGCCATGGACATCTGGATGTTCTTCTGCATCGTCACCGTGTTCCTGGCGATGGTGGAGTTCACACTCGCCTACAACTTCCGCTTCACGCTGGCCCAGGACGGCGACAGAAAGCCCAAGCCTGTGAAAGAGCCCGTCACTGTTCTGGGAATCAACTCGATCGCGGCGGGACTGAGACAGCCTCGGGTCGTTGTACTCACTCAGCCGGAGGAAGGCAAGACGCCGTTCGCTGTCTTGAAGCTGTCCGTCTACTGGGTCGCTGAACGTTTTGCAAAGAAAAAGGGCAACTTTATCGACAACTTTTCAAAACTGTTGTTTCCGATTGCTTTCTTGGTGTTCAACTTGGCCTACTGGAATCATTACGGGAAAGGCCAGAAAGAAGTTACATTCTGGGGTGGCTAGGCAATTAATGGTTTATGCTTACAGACTATGTAGTTGCTGAATGCTATATATTTCATTTAAAAAACTCTATGTAGTTTTTGTTTCAATGCGTTCGGCATACTGTCCGATGATAATAGAAGTGGACCCATTTATGCACGGTTGGAGGCATATGTTCGGACATCTTATGAACAAACAAATGGTATGTCACCAAAAGTGACGAGTTGATCGTTCTCTTTGTTGCCTTCAGTCGTGGTTATGTGCTCGTAGTCCGTTTGTGGCATATGCATGTACGGTTCTCCAGGGTATTAGTCGTTGGTCGCTCGGCGAGCGGGAGGGCAACCAGTTCCGCCCCTGTATCGCGTGCCCCCTTGCTCCGCCCAGTTACGCACGAGCGTACTCCACGCCGCGTAGTAGCGTGGGGAGGGGAGGGTTAGAATGGTGGCATGTGTAGAGGCTAGAACCGGTTTCCACCGCCATGCCACCGCCCAGCGACATGGAGCGGGGTCAGTGACCAGGGCGCAGGGAAAGGTCAGAGGTCAGCTTTAACGTAGAGCTTTGTATCTCCCTCCCCTCCGTGTGTAACGACCGCACGACAGCGGCCGGCCGCCGATCAGGCTTGACATGTCAAGGTCACCCGAAGTCAACGGGCTCAGAGGGTTGGTCGAGTGCGAGTCCGTGGCTGACGACAGTCTCGACCATGTGCTATGGTGCCGATACACTAGCGTGGGTAATAAGTTTGTGTTCAGTGCATATGACTGCTGGGGCGGGTCCTCTTGATATGATACTTTGTAACGTGTATGATACGCTTAAAACCTCGCTGGCAGTGGCCGAGAGGAGAAGGGGGGTGGGAGGCGGTTGCCGCCTCCACATGTTTATTTTTGTTGATAGCTGCGAGAGCTGAAATTTGGCAAGCCTGACCTTTGATTCAAGCTGAATTTTTATGACAGCAGCTGTATTTTCACCATCGCCCATATTGGTGTTTTGCCAGCGTCTATCGTAAAGAGGGGGAGGAGGGTCCGTTGGACCCCTTTGCCGTTCAGCCCCTAATCGAGCTAGAGCTTCGCGGAAAAAAACGTGTTGCCCGTGACGAGAGGAGGCCGATGATACCCAATTTTAACCCTCGCCGGCACACCCCCCCCCTAAGGTTTTTCGCGAATAACTCGCGTAAAAAGCGGCCGATCGCGACGAAACTTTCAGTACCCTCGCATTAATCAATTTTACACCTACCCTGAAATTTTTTGACCCTGACCCAAATGACCTTTGACCTGGGACCTCTTTTCCGAGACCATGTTTGGCTGGAACCGCGATTCGGCGTATGTCGGCTCGCATTAGCCGCGCGTTTGCAAGCTTTTCGTGGTTTCAAACGTTCAAACATGTGATTTGATGTTGCTCCCATACATTACGGTGGGTTTCAAGGTCAGCTGAAGGTCAGGTCAGGTCATTGACCTTTGGTGACCTCGGGTGACCTCGGTTCACTTTTTCGAGTTTTACATGCTTCTAGCCTAGTTTTTGGAGCTGAATTCGAATTTAGCAACCATTTGAACATTTACGAAGTAGTTTTGGTGCCTTCGTAACATGTTACGAAGCTGTCAGAGGCGGTTGACACGTATTACGAATACCCGTCACAACCCCTACCGGTTGACCTGACCTGACCTGACCCGACCTGGTCTAAATGCTTAAAGACATCATCTCTGATCAAAACTAATACGATATTCGTTTTCAGCACCCCGGAAAACCACACAGCAGCCACACTTTACGACTTTCTAACAGGTCCCGATTTTCCCGGTTTTTGGGTCATTGACCTGACCTGGAAGGTCACCCGATGACCTAGGACTTTAAAATTGGGTATCATCGGCTTCCTCTCGTGACGGGCAACACACTCGTTTTTTCCGCGAAGCTCTAGCTCGATCAGGGGCCAAACGCGAGGGGGGGGGTCGTACCCCCTTGTGCCGTCGAAGGACGCAAAATGGCCTGTGCCGGCGAGGGTTAAGGTCCTAGGTCATTGGTTGACAGGTCAATATAACTCAAAAGTCGGGGAATCGGGACCTGTTAGAGCTTCGTAAAGTGAAGCTGTTATAGGGTTTTGCGGGGTGCTGATCACGAAATTCAAGTTAGTTTTGATCACAGATGATGTTTTCGTGCATTTAGGCCAGGTCGGGTCAGGTCAGGTCAGGTCACATGTTACGAGTGAACCAAAACTACTTCTTAACCCTCGCACGACCAGGCCATTTCTCATAATGTAACAGCTGGAAGCTGTGACATTTTTTCCCCGTACTTCAAAAAGGATATCTCACACACTCTATACGTAAGGACGATCGCACTGCCTGCCGCGGCGCTGAGCCGGCGTGGGGAGGGAGTCGACCATACGATCCCCCGACCCGTTGGCCGGTCACCATTAAGCGAAGATCAAAGGCTCGCCGAAGGGTGGAGTTCCAACACACCCATCCGGGCCGGCGCAGTGGCCGCCGACAAACGTAACGCAGCCGGAAACACCTGCTCCCGGTGCTCGACCAGCCTCCCGACGCCTGGCGCCACGCACATCCTGCCGACGCAGCTGACAGGAAGGTGGGAGGATGCCGTTGCGGTCAGCCGTCCGGCACAGGCAGGGACCGACATCCGGCGAAAATCGAGTGTGAAAACGTCATCCGGCAGGAGACAGCTGAGACGGATGAGCCGTGATAGTGAGGATGACGTCACGTTCCGGCGGAATGGAGGAGGAGGACGACGGTCTCGACTCCGGATGCGAGACGGGATGTCGCCAATTTTCTGCCCCGGTCGGGGAGGCCCGGCGACGCCCGGAACCTCCGGCCCGGAAATCACAGGCGAACAAAACTCAGCGGAGAAGGAGAGAGGGGGACAGAGCACGGTATCAGACCACGGGTGACAGACCACGGGGGAGGAGAGCTCATCTGGACGGCGGGTCGGCCGGCACGTCTCAGTCTGAGGCTGGCCGACCCCACCCCTGCCGGAGCGGAGGGACTCTGCTGCCGCGACGGAGATTCGACGTGTCAACCATCATCAACTGTCAAGTGAGTCATCTCATCTGTCCGCCTCATCAAGACTGCCTCCCCGTCATGGACAATTCACCTCCCATTTACCCATCGGATGTCTCTGATCTGGATTACAAATGCCACTCCCTGAGGTCTAACCTGAGCCACCATTAGAGGGTAATGGATTTAACATCGTGGGAGTGTGACTCGGTAGGGAAGGGGAGGGGAGATGGTCGCTACATTCCGCTCCCGACCGAGCGGCGCGGCAGGGGTGCGCCTGTTTGTAAGGGTGAGCAGGCAGACTAATGGGTCTGACTAGTCCGGCCTTACCAATGGGGTAGGGAGAGGTTTAGCGAGACAGCCGGGGCGGGTCAGTAATGGTCAGTGTAGGCTAATGGCTCACCATTACATTGGTTTTGGAGGGAGCGCTATCCGTCGGCCATCGCGCGCGCGGTCTGGCCGCAGTGAGGTGTGGGAGCCAATGCAGGGAGAGGGGAGGAGAAACAGGTCAGGTGGTGTCATTTTTGGGGCGCTGGTCACCACTGACGCGTCAAACTACGTCAGATGACGTCATGACAGTTCAATTGGCGATGCTTTGTAAATAATCTTTTTGCGGTTAGGGCGTTAGGATTAGATTTAAGGCTAAGTTGGCATTGGCGAGCTGACAACCGATCGTGGTACACCGGTTGAAAATGACCAGTATTGTATCGTCCGTTTGTAAATATAGCGTGAAAATTTAACAATCTGTCTGGGAAACAAGGGAGGGTTACTGCAGATATGTTGCTGATTCGGACTCACAGAGACCGCTAACGTAATTATCTTTAAGTTGTCAACGTCGACCACACGACCTCACGCCGGCCTAACACCCCAGGCTCACCGGAGTTGAATGAGATTACGCCACGGCCGTCTGATCATCAATCAACGGAAACGCAATGATCACGCCCTCACGACGCGACCACCATAAATTCGTTTTTTTTTTTAGTTGTTACAATTGGATAAGGAGAGTACAACATCGTAAACGTTAAACATTATTCTGCTCCTTCGGCAGCTCAGCGCCAGAACAAGTCTGAATTGCCTTCCGGGTTGTTATTAAGTCAGCATTGAGTCGTTTCGTGATTCGCGTTCATATAACCGATACAAATCTGAATCACCATTTCAATCGTTATAAATTTATCGCTGTTCGTAAGCTGCCAATCAATCCCCCTTTCTCTCCTAGCATCATCAGTACCTAACTAATATTGATGCCAGCTCCCCCTTCGAGGTATATCAAAGATTAAAGTGGAAATGACACGGTTGTTAAATTGATGCATCATTTGAGACAATTGATCATAAACATCAAGCGAGTTAGCGTTCAATGTGATGTGACTATGTCAAAATGTCACCCTGCTTGTACCCATCTAGAGTTGGTTACGGAGGGAAGCGAGAAATTACCGCAGCTCATGTCCTTCATGTAGAATAAAGACGCACCGACGGCAGCGCCCCTAGCGCCACCTACAAGACCCAACTCTCGGTACAGCCCGACCGCCCAGAAGGCCGAAAGGAAACAGTGGCGCCACCTATGACCGAGGCACGCCAAGCTCTGCTTATTCATTCTGCCGCGAGTGGACGTTACACGACCATCTCACGCGTGGAACGTGCGTAGGAGAGAGACGGACAGACGGGGACAGGGGGAGAATGAGTAAATGAATGGGCGCGCACGGGAGTGGATGAGTGAATGGGGGCGTGAGTGAGTGAGTGGGTGAGTGAGAGAGCGAATGTGAATGATCAATAGAGAGAGAGAGCGAGAGAGAGAGAGAGAGAGAGGGAGAGAGAGAGAGGGAGAGAGAGAGAGAGAGAGAGAGAGAGAGAGGGAGAGAGAGAGAGAGAGAGAGAGAGAGAGAGAGAGAGAGAGAGGGAGAGAGAGAGAGAGAGCGAGAGAGCTGGTTTAATCTTGGTTTAACGTAGAATATTGACTAACGGGTAGACCCAAACATATGAAGGAATCAATCAAAGATAGCTTTTGATCACAGGGCACATTCTCAAAGAAATTAA